GCTCTAAGATGGCGGACAAGATTTGGTCCGATTCCATTCAAAATTGGTAAATGGGGGTTTTTGAGGTCGGAGATCATGATTTTTTTGTTGAAATTTATAAATTCAAGATGGCGGCTTCCAAATAATTTTTTGTTTTTGTATAAATGACGATAACTCCGTTGTTATCAACACGAAACTATTACTGCGACATATCACCTGTAAGAGAAAAAAAAGTGAGCTATGACCTATATTTGAAAAACTGAAGTTGTTGCTGATATCTCAAATTCTAGAAGAGACGGTATAAATTTCATATTTTTTTCGAAATCACTTTGAAAAACTGCCATGAGAATGTGGAATTCCTATTTGAATATTTTCATAAATAAAGAAGTTACGGAGAAGACATGAAAATGACCAAAATCTGTTTTTTGCGTATAAAACAAAAACGAATAGATTTTATCAAAATATTTTTTCACATTATAGTTGGCCTTGACAAACTACACATTTGGTGTCATTTAACCGACCTCGTATCTCTCACCGTTAAAAAGATACCCATGGTGAGCATGGTAAGTGGGACACACTGTATGTCTCGAAGGAAAGTGAAAACATTGTAGTTCATCAAACGGCACCTGTGCAAAATAATTAAAACATTGCACTTTCCTGTGCGGAAATTTGCACTCGATTTCGCGAGTTGATATCGAGATAAGAATTATGCCATCCGATACCAATTGAATAGTAGATTTCAAAAACTTACTTGTGCCCACCCTCAGTCTTAGCCAAATCCACGGCACAGCGATTTATTTGCTGCTATTATTTCGGACATACTTTCGTCATGTGATAACGAGTTGAAACAAGAAGCAAATAAAAGGGGATGATGCCGCCTTTGCGAATATCCAAACGTGCCACGATTCAAACTGATCTGAGTAAGTGACAGAGCGTCAGAATATTTCGCCCCCATCTAAAGATAAAATCCGATGGACCAGTGTGAAACTCAACATGTGGATTAGAATACTTGTAGTGTGAGCATCACACAAATTCAGAATCCTTTAGAATAATGTATGATGAAAAATACTGCAGGAAACCTCAAGTATTGCTCAAATTAACGACCGTTTTTCATTCTCTGTCCCACAATGAAAAACACTTATGATTTTTGCTTAAAAATTTTGTGCCTCAACCGGTTTTATACATCAATGAAAACAGATAAATATCAATCAGAAGCAAATCGAAAAAGATATGGTTCCATCTGAAGAAAAAAACTGAAGTCATCGAGATTCTAGTTGGAATTAAAAAAAAAATTGTTATTCCTCCATCATTTGATAAATCATTCTATTTGCTTTCTTGTTCATCAAAATCATACAAATGAGTAACAGTGGTACTAAAATAGTTATTTATGCAACAAGTGAAAAAAAGGGAATGTTTATTGCACGAGTTGCATACAACATTTTTTCTACGTTCATGCAAAAAGCAAAAAATGATTTATTGAGGTGCGGCACTAGGTGTAGGTAAATGAAAAACGCAACTTGAATACTTTATTATTAATATCGATTTGCATTGAAACTCAAACTTTATTTTTACCCTCAATGTTGAAAGTGAATGAACAATTGGTGCAATTTTCAATATGAATATATGACGTTCCTATAACCACAGTTGCAATATAAAAAATGTTTGTCATGATGACAGCACGTTGAAGTAGAATGACAGATGAGTGCAATAAAAACTTCATTGCACTAAGTGCAATAAAGAACTTCTTTTTTCCACTAAATATAGTTCAATAAAGTTCTGCTTTTTGCATGAATGTAGAAAAAAATAATATCAATTTCTGACCATGAAAAGCAGTACCTCAGAAATAGCAGTAATGCATGTTTTATCCCACTAATAGAAAAAACTGACCAGCCTCATGCAACCTTCAGTTTCCAATCCATTAAATGATTTTATTGATTTTCCACTGAAAAATCTAACTGTGGAAACATAATATGACCAATCAATCACTCAAATTCGCCACCATTTCAGTATATTTGGTTATCTTATAATGAAAAGCATATATATATGTTTGCTTAATAATTTTGTGATAAGATCAAAGTGTTGAAATATCACTGAATTCTTAATAGAAATACTTCAGAAAAGTCATTGACATTCTAGCTGGAATAAAAAAAAATTAGTGGCCGGGAAATTGTAGTAATGCATTTATATATATAATTTGAAAACTGACTAGTATCATGCAACCTTCAGTTTTATTATTATTTTTTATTTATTTTTTCAATTGAACTTTGACCTATATACTTTTTATTACTATTTATTTGTTGCTCTCAGGTACCTAACTTTTGTGTTTTGTTATTCAATTAGTGTTTATACTGTTTTGCCCTCTTCCTGGAAAACTCGATAGAAATATTCCTCAAATTGGAACTTTTTTATATGAAAAATCCATACCCCAACATTAAAATTCAATTTGCTAGTTATTTTTCAGCATTTTTGAAAATTGTATATCTATAAATATATTATTTTGAAGGTAAAAAAATTAGGAATTTAATGAGCTTATAAAATACAGGGTGTTCCATTTGGAAAATCGTAAGTTTGGATCATATCTGCAAAACCGCACCAGAAAAAAAATTGAGTACGTCACTGGATTCTGCGTAAAATTCTCTAAGGGATAAGATTTTAATTTCTCATTTTCGCTAAGAAACTTCGTAGATATAGAGGGGGTTTAAAAAGTATAAATTTTCAAAATCGCCCTGTATATCATAAACGGAAACAGTTATGCAAAATCTGATTAGAACATCTTGAGTTTCACAAAAAAATGGCCTAGGACCGCGAAAACCGCAAGGTTTTATCTCCAAAGATAACTGAGATATCACGCAAAAGCACAGTATGTAACATGGAATTTCGCGGTCATTACCCATAGCAACAGCTGCCAAACGAGACGTCAATTCCGAATTTGACATTTCTAAAATACGCCAATAACAAGGTTACTATCACGAAAAATATTGTGTATACCATAGCCGTGAAACTTTTTGGTGACCACACGATTATCTTACCTTGACTGCAAATGGCATCAGTGATAGCTTTTCTTTAGGTATGCTGAAAAGGTACTTCATGGCCTAAGTGGATGAATAAATATTTTGATAGAAAGGCTGTTTCTAGAAGTGGTAATAATGGGAGATATTTAGCTTATCAACTATTTAACTCATTACAAATGCGCACCACATGCCATCATCTTAGGTTAATTTCTGTAGGTTATTTAGGTTATATTGGTTATGTTGGCAACATCCATGAAACACACCCAACAGCAAGGTTTACCAACTACTACAAAGTTGTGGCTAGCAGAGCAACAGCAGGTTAAATATATTTTAGTTAAAATTGTTTCATTGTTTTATTTCTAACATATTTCAAGTGACATTACATTGGAGAATGTAAGATCCTTAGTAGGATAATCATATTCAGGATAATTCATTAAGAATGTGCAATCTCTGAACTTCAGATAGTAAACACCTGGATATGAAGATTACTTGCCTTATAAAAATGTTGCTGGTTAAGGAGATACAGAGTGTTCAAGGGGAACATTTTATTTTGAACTTTCTCAATAAACTATTGTGTTTTTGTTGTTGGTGTTTTCAGTAATTGTCATTATTATCCACTGTAATTTTTTTCAGTGTAAGTATTTTTTTAAAATGCTTACTCAGATCATTTCAAGAGGGAATAAGGCAAAAACGGGGCTTTACTTATTTTATCCAATATTCAATGGAGGAAGAAGGCATAATCACAAATTCTTACCTCAAAAACCTCAAAGTAAAAAATGTTATGTTCATGCTGTTAAAACTTGATATGTTGGGTCCATATTGCAGTTAAATATTGAAGATGACTGGACCAAAGAAAATTATAAGGGTCCAACTAAATCTTTTGGCATAATATATCTCAGTTTCCAATCCACTTGAATAAATTCATGGATTTTTCAATGAAAACCTGACATAAGTGCAAAATTATAATATAACCACTCATTGACAAGATCTTACCACTACCTTGTATTCTAATTTTGGAAACTGTGTGTCTTATTCATAGTAAATGTAAATATAATTAAGAAAAATGTTATTCAGACAAATTTCTACATGTTTTTCTTCATTTGATAGTCTGGAAGTTGCTACTGGTCCCCCTTATATCTCAAATGTTATGTATATATGTATGTAAACTATTGTGACAATCACAAATGTGTTCTTTGCAAATGTTTTTTTGTTTTACTCTATGAATGAATGTTGTCAATTATGTTTGGCTATGTTACCTGTCATTTTACCCCTTCACCCAATGTCTACACCACCGCCGCGGCGGTTGGATACTGATACATAAACAACCGCCGGTGGTTACCTATTTTTATATAGAAGACCGCCGTGAAATCCGCCGCGGCGGTTGGATACTGATACATAAACAACCGCCGGTGGTTACCTATTTTTATATAGAAGACCGCCGTGAAATCCGCCGCGGCGGTTGGATACTGAAACATAAACAACCACCGCGGCAGTTACCTATTTTTATATAGAAGACCGCCGTGAAATCCGCCGCGGCGGTTGGATACTGATACATAAACAACCGCCGGCGGTTACCTATTTTTATATAGAAGACCACCGTGAAACATGAAGTAAAATATCGTTTCTGCATGAAGAAGGAGACAACTTTTTTCAAACAAACTAACCTAAGACGCCTTAATAAACTTTTCTCCTGAGAAAAATATTTTTCGAAAAATTATTTGTGAGAAAAAGTTTGAAAAAAGTTAGGCCTTACAGGGGTTGAACTCGAGTCATCGCCGTGATGGTCAGGTACACTGTCAAATGAGCTATCGCTCTGCTCGGAAGTACTCTCTATGAAGAAGGAAGAAATATCGTCGCGGCGGTTGTTTATGAATCAGTATCCAACCGCCACGGCGGTCGTGTAGACAGTATCTTACTGTTACTTATGTTTCATTCTTCATAATGACTTTGTCAATGAGAATTATTTTCTTCAGACAATACATTTTTTGATTGATTGATTGAATAACTCACCTGAATATGATGGAGTCGAGATCAAAAGGGTATTCAATGATGCCCGTAGTGGGTGCCCTCGCCCTCAGGATGTCCTGTTCAGTGGGCAGGTAGTCTGAAGCGCGGATGCGCTCCAAGTCACTTAGGTAGCTGTAATAGGGCATGGGAATATGACAAACATGGAATAACAATAATAACATAATAAGGATGAAAATATCCTCTACTTGAAAAAGGAAAAATAACATCATACAAACTGTAAACCTAGTGAAAGCACAAAAGACACTGAAACAAAAGGGCATCATGAACAGGTACCACAAACTACATGAGATAATTATTATGACTAAATAAAAACAAAGACATTTACTGGTATGGGGATCAACAAAACTATCAATAATGAAGCCTTGCAAAACTCTTCAAAATAAAATTATCAAATGTTCAAACAGACTAAATTATCTGGAACCTTTACAGAAGAAGAGAGTTATTAGATATAGATTCACTATATAAATTCAAATTAATATCCTTCATTAATTCAGTTAAACATTGTCAAAAGCATTAAAATTTGGTTTTCCAAATTAATAATAGTCACCACAACCATACAACTAGACAAGCAGATCATTTTTCTGTCAAGGAAATTAAATCAGATATTGGTAAAAAATCTATCTATCACAATGGACTGATACATTACAATTCATTACCAAATAACTTGAAGCTGATTAATGGGATTGAAAAATTCAAAAAGGAATTGAAGAAACATCTACTCCTGTAATATTGACATCTTATCTTATTTTTATAGTTTCCTCCAACAACTACTATATTTTTCTATTAGGTTCAGTTGAACTTGTGAAAAAATATTTCTTCTTGAGTGTGAGTCTTATTTTACTGTCTTCTTTATTTTGTCAAATATATTTATATATTCACCATGTTCCCTGCTTATAAACAAATGTTTTTTACATTTACTATGGATTTCCATCAAATAAGGGCAGATAAAAACTTATTGAATCTTTGTGCCTTCTTTTCTGTGAGTGCCAATTTATGTATAGGGTAATTACCTAGGTAATTAAAGAGGAAAATTCTGGTAATATATCATTATTTTGTAGAATGTGATCACCATGTTCCTTTTGAATAATCTGTCTCATCAAAAAAGATGCCAATCATCATCATTTTCTATATTCAGTAATGTGCTGAATGGAAGTATTTCTATTACACTTGCTATGAAATTTTTCAGCCAACAAGTTTTGGTTTTCATGTTGTTTTTTTCCTCTGTTCAACTAATTTGATAAGTTTTCATATTTGATCAATAAACTTGCTGCCTTACTTACTGCACAATTTCAAGTAAGTAAGTAATCTTTATTGGCCATATAAAAATACAGTAACAATGTACTTGCCATGTGAAAATGATGTACTATAGATTACAGAAAACAATATACATATAAATAATCCATCAAATTTAATACCACTGCAAAAGTAGATAAATACTCCTCTCAAAACTACTGCAAACAATTGGGATATTATTAATTTCAAATTCATAAAACATATTGCAACTTCAAAGTGGAGTGTTTCTCTGATCTGAAAATCACATTATTCAATTCAATGCAATTGGTTGTAGTTGATACCAATCTAATTAATTGAGACAGATTGATTACTGAACAATTTCCATGATCTTTGGTACTACTCCAAAAATTCTATGATTTTCCAATAGTTTTGTGATACTACATGCTTTATTTCAGTATAAACCCCAAGATAAATCCAGTTTCAAATGGTGACACAGACTCATAGTTTTCCCCTCTTTTCTCCTTTGTTTTACTAGCTATATCTCTGAAATTTAGAACGTCAAATATGTTCACTCTCACTAGAAGGCACTTATTCACATGTTATGATTTTTCTTTTTCCAGTTTTGATGGAAATGACCATGACTTTCAATTTTATTCCATAATCAGTTAGGGATTATCACAATGAATTCGAGGACACCAGGATTGATAGAATTATTTCATGGGATTAGGAAGATATTTGCATCCAAGTTTATATGCTCAATGGGGCAATATCAAAACTTCTTTCTCTGTCACACTCATTGAGCATATGCAAATTTTGAAAGAGAATATCTCAACTATTTGAAATAACCCAATGGAACCTAGTATTGTTGAATATTGTGGAATGAAATATATAGTATTCCAGAGAATAAGTTTTATTGGTCTATAATTGATAATGAAAAAACTCACTATTTTGCAGAATCAGTGAGTTGATACTCTCTGCGTCGGTCATAACATTCTTGAATGCCTGCGTCCAACCAAAGGTTCTTTATAGCTTCCACATAAGGACTCTCAAATGTAGTCACTGTTTCATAGTCAATGCTTTTTATCAACTCTGCTTTTTCCTGCAAATGAAACTTCAATTCAAAAAAGAAGCCAAAAACTCTCAAAAACAAAAAAATGTCATAGACCAAGTCACATAATAAACAATACCAATAAATGATAATGATCCTTCTTTATTGAATTGAAAATAAATCATGATAAACAAAGAAAAATAAACCCAGATTAAAACACTACAATAAAACCAAAGCATTATCAATAACATGGTGTTTTTATGGACTATTAAATTGTAAGTAATTTAAAAATTGAAGAAGACAGGGTCTCAGATTGTTGCACTCAATTCTGAGTCAACCTGTTTCAGAACATCATTTAGAAAAAACTGAATGTTTTATTAGCCATAAATTTACCTGTTAACTATAAACATTGATGATATTTGATATTTTGATACCATATTAAAAAAGTCAGTCAAATTTTGATGACTCGTTCCCAAAACAAATAGCTCATGGGATGTGATGTGAGGTTGTGTTACCTGGTTAGCAGAATCCCCATACTGGATCTTCAGTAGGTCCATGGCTTTGATCATGCTCTGCATGGCCATGAAGATGTTTTGATAAACCAGTTTTATGAAACCACGCTTATCCTCATCTGAATAGCCAGCTCCATGGATGATGCGCATCTGTTTGATAAAGGTTGACTTTCCAGATTCTCCAGTGCCTGAAACATAAGGGTATCCCTTGAAGTTGCAGGTGTAATAGTCAAGAAGAACTGTTATTCAAAGAATAATTATTCCCCTGTCTATGTGTGATGTGTTTATATTATGATATAGACTGATATAGACAGTGAATTGTTATAGGTATATCTGATTGTGGCATATTACTAGGATATTATCATCTACTAAATATCTGAATATTTCCAATTTTGTTGACAATGAGGCATTTTGTCAAGAGTTATAGGTAGACAAGAAAATTTGTAAATTCTTATTTCATAATCAAAAAGATGAAAATCTGGAGATCAAAGAATTCAAACAGAAATGTTGTTGATATAGGTACTGCAATTCATAAGGAACATCATTCTGAGCAAAATAAATATTATTTCATATTGACACTAGTGTAAATATGAATTTCATTATTTCATATTGATACTAGTGTCAATAAAAATTTCATATCAACACTGGCTTTGATTGTGACTTGGTATTATATCATATAATCATAGACATTCAACATATAAACAAATAGTCCTCACACCACAATGCTATTCTAAGATACTTGCATTGTAACACAAAAGAACTATTATTACCTCCCCTATTACTGAATCAAATAGGTAAGTAAACATATAAAATACATTTTCTTAAGGATGAAGAAATGAGTTGTGAATTAGATATTATTTTGATGGATGTTCTCACATCCCAAATTAGTGAATTACTTCATCAAGCAGCTCCGCTCACAGTTTCTTAGAAAAACAAAAATATATTCTCAGTTCATCAACTTCCTCAAGCCATTTATTTTAATTAGATAAACACCTACACCAAGATCAGAACATCCGGCATATAAACAAAACACAATGACCGGGGCTACCAGGACCAGGGCGTTCTTGACTTACAGCAAAAAAACATCTGATACTCATCTCAGAGATTTGATGGAATTTTTTCACTCACCCAGAAGAAGTAATTTGAGTTCTCGTCGAGCATCTCTCTTGTCTCGGCGGAGTTGTTTTTCGATTTCAGCATTGATTCTTTTCTGCTCTCGAGCCTCATCTGATTGACAACACTGCATGGTCGAGGGCTTAATGGGGCCACGATTGACATCCACGGCGTGTCCTACCTCACGAAAAAACACACACCTACAATTTGACACTTCCCACAACGGCAACCATCGTAGTAAGCTGGGTGTGGTGAATAAGTTCAATCGCTGACATGCTCTTACAGCCTTTATAACATTGAAATTAATCTCGTTACAGTAACTAGATTGAAGAAGCCTAGACTGGTCCCGCTAAAGGGATTAACGGGTCCTGGCCGCTCTCTTGGACGTCCTTGCTGTCTTGGTGTGCAGTGCTGGTAGGCCCGGGACTCGATTCGCGAATCGAACAGCCGCGTCAAGGTCAACTGAAACCACTATTCACTAGAACTGCTTGAAAAAGTGTCCACCATCGCGTTTAGCTCTTCATTTGTGTTTTCCGAGCGATAAATGACTCCATTTCACTGAAAATGCAAAATGCAGCCGCCTATTGTCAATATGGCGCTGCCCTGTGGATGAATGAAAAGTGATATCACGCATGACAGGAAGTACTATAAAAAATGAAATCCGATTACCGCGAAATTCAATTTTTTTTAATTCGTCAAAGATTCAATGATTTTTCATAGATAAGTGCATTAATGCCGAGTGCTCTATTATTATGAGCTATATGTTATATGTGAGAATATAGAAAAATCATGATATTTTATGTATTTCTACTAGCTTATAATAATATTGACATTTCATCATGAATTTTTATTTAGCAAACGATACAGATAGCATCAGATCCGATAGGGATAAAAATGAAATAATGAAAGTTTACCACACTAGAGACTAGCGATTCCGATTCTGAAATCGCCCAAAAAAAATCGATTATTCATTCGATTCTTCTGGAACATGCGATTCCCCGAATCGATTATTTTTTTAAGAAGATCGATCTCGAACTTTTTAATCATTGTGGGAGAAAATATAATCATTGTTTTTCCTTATGTTCCTTCGTTATTGGGGATTTCTTATTATATGTACAGTGTGTCCCACTTCTATAATGGAAATAACACCCCTGTTTATTACGTAATCGTTGGGTATAAGCGTTGATTGATATATAAGCGTAATATATCAATCAACGGTATAAGCATCCTGAAATTTGCTGGAGCGAGAGAAATACCAAAAATTCACTCTATGACCAAGTAGGGTCATCTTCAGTCATATACACTGCTCGCCAACAGCCATGGAACCACCTTAAATCCCGAAAAATGATATTAGGAGTCAAAATAGGTCGAAATAAATCATTTCAGATTCGGAATCAGGACTCCCAATTCACTAACTTCAAATATTTTGCCTGGAAAATTTCCAGCTCTGAAAAATTAAATTTTGTCGCAATTTTTACGGAAGCACCCCCGTATCCTTTCGTAATTGATGACTTCATCTTTGGGCTTTTCCTTCCTCCTGCAAATTTCAGAACCCTTACCTCAATAATTACACGTGAGATACGAGGGGTGCTTCCATGAGAATTAAGTGAGACTAAATTTAATTTTTCTCACCTGAAAATTTTCTAAGAAAACTATAATTAGTTAGGTAATTGGGCATCCTGATTCCGAATTCGAAGTGACTTTCAACCTATTTTGACTCCTAATATCATTTTTCGGAAATTGGGGTGGTTCCATAGCTATTGGCGAGCAGTGTATATCACTGGAAGATCCGGTCATAGAGTTCATTTTTGAAATATCTCTCGCTCCAGGTAAGATACAGGGGTGTTTCCATTAGAAGCGGCTGTATATAATCATTTTTCATGAAATTCTATACTTTATCGGTGCATTCACGATATTTCGATATTCTTCCAATTTCGCGGTTTATGGGGTGGATGGATACATCGATAAATCGATACATTTTTGAAAAAATTGGCATACAGTTTGAATTAATTTGAATTCATAATAGAGAAAAAAAATTATAATGAATTACCGACGCATGCGTAAAACACTCTGTCGCCACAGGGTTTGTGTCATTTTAGGCCTTTCATAGAAATCACGAAACTGAACACCTTAATGATCTAAGTGAACTCACTTATGTCAATAAAGCTTCATAAAAAATGATAATGAAATAACATGGCAACGTGTCAGTGTCAAGTGTCAATCAAAGATAGCTAAAGACGGGATCCTAAAGTGTTCGAGTCATTCCCAAACCTCATTGGTCAGATTGGTCACAGTAGTGAATCACCTGATACGTATGGACCTGCGCATTTGCTCGTAGCAAAACGAGAGTCATTGAGTTCATTACCTCGGGGTCTCGAGAGGATGAAAAAATATCCTTGAGAGCCTTTTCCAGTATGATCTAAGCTTATACACAAATGATCACACAGATTAACAAAGTGGAGTGACGCTGACTCCATGATGAGAATGGTTCGAAAGATTTAGGCACTTAGCCTAAGTAGTGAACAGTGTTGCCAGAGTAACACTTGCATTTGGTACCTTCATATAGATTCAGTACAATTTGTTATTAGATTTCACCCAATTCTGGTACAATTTCGTGTTTTGGTCAGTACATTCAGCTCAAATTTAGTACAATCTGTGGAAAACTGGAACCTTTGGCACGATAATAATACACTACACACTGTTTTACCACTAGCCAAACCGTGAAAAAAAATCGGTTTGGTTAGTGGTAAAAAGTGTGTAGTGAGCATTTAGTGACCTGTATGGCTAAGATGCCTAAACATCTCATGTATGGCTATATCAGCCAAGCAAATAGCTGACCATAATGAGATACATGAAGAGAAATCATGACATGGGTATTCATGACACCAAACTTCAACTAGGTATAATATTTTCTGATATACTTTTTCAATATTTGATATCATTTTTTATGGATGATGCTGTTATGGTATATTCGTATTTGATTTTTTTTATATCTAATGTAATTTTTCATGGATGACACTGCTTATACATTTATACATATGTTCTGATTCAATCTTTTTGGATATGTATACCTGATAGACATTTTTGTGTAAATCTCATTATCTTCTTTTTCCCCATGTTTTTTATACATGATATTATTATTACTGACAATGAAATATAAAAAAACATTTTTCATTTTGTCATTGATTTTTCCATTGTTTCAAAATTCCATGTCTGGTACATTCAACCTGGTTCTAGTACAATTCAGTAGTGATTTTAGTACAACTATTGTTTCCTTCTGGCAACACTGGTCAAAGGTTAAAGGTCAAAGGAAAGGTAAATGTTAGGTTAGGACGGTTAGGTGTTTGTAGGTTATCAAATTTGTTGAAATTTTTTGAACCCTTTTATTAAACCTCATTTTAATTATGTCCAAAAGACGGGGAAACAAAAAAAATAAAAATCTGGATGATGATTTCGATGATGAAGTTACAAGTAACGTAAGTGAAAAAGTCAACATATTGTCTGACACTTCTAAGGCCAAACTTACCAAAAAGAGCAAGAAGGGCAAGAAAGATGATTGGAGTGATGAAGAAATTAATGGAAAAGGTAGATATTTCATTAGTATCTGTGTACAATTGCTGTATCATTTGCTTTGTAGGAAATGAAGCAGATAATACTGATTTAAAAAGCGAGTCAAAGGCACAACCAGCTGGAAAGAAAAAGCAATCCAAGAAAGGTATATGAATATAAACTACTTAATAGGTGTACACATTGTTTTCTACTTTTGACTTGAAAAAACATAAACCAACATGAAATGAAAATATTGTAGGTGTGTTCACATGCACAAATTTTTTTTCATTATTTTCACAAAGGTTTTATGTAGAAATAAAGGTATTGGAGCGAACTGCAATAATATTTTGCTACTTTGCAAGCATGTATATCTGTTGAGTATATAATTAAAGGACTTTTCTTTGGTCCTTCTGGGACTAAACTAAACCAATCCCATTTTGCTTCAAGAAATCATGAATTGTATTGGTTGATTGGAAGTTGAAACTTATTTAGATACATATATTGTTTTATCAAATTACAGATAGAAATTATAAAATTATACAATACACAATTTTTTGCTTAAGCTGTTGAAACTTACAAAAGCTATTGAGAGATTTCAAATTAAAATCTTCCCCTGGACTCATTGTATCTCCAAAACTAGCAATATTTTCATAAAACATGTCAGGCTGAATCTTAATACTTTGGTGTTTACTATCTGTACCTCAGAGATTACCCATTCTTAATAAATCACCCTGTATATGTAATTGATCATCATTGTTCATGTTATGTTTTCAGGCAAAACTAATAAAAAGGATGATGACTGGTCAGACAAAGATGTTGAATTGAATCTATCTGATGGTGACTCTGAACCATTACCAGTAGCCTCTAGAAAATCCACCAAGAAGATCAAGAACAGGACAAAGCAGGAAAGTGATGATGAATCCCAGGAAGACATTCCAGCACCTGCAAAAAAAAGTGGCAAAAAGAAGGTCAAGAAATTCGAGGCTGGAGATGATGAAGATATTGATGCACAGGGTAAGAGTGTTTTCAACTTTGATTAAACAAAAAAATGGAAAGTCATAATAGCCAGGAAAGCTAAGCTTTGGCAAAATAATTAGAAATCTTTAGTATAATAAAATTATGTACCTACTGTTATAGTAAACTATCAACTAAATTTATATCTTGGAACAATAAATAAACAAATATATAAGTAATGAATAGGTCACTAGGAAAATATACAAATATAAAAAATTATTCAATATTTTTTGTAACATTTGAATGCTTTAAATTCTTGTTATTTAATTAACATCAACTTCTTAATCCAAATTCATAAATTTTTTTCTTTGTTTCTGGATATTCTAATAATTTCTGCAGTATAGGTACCTAATTAGTCTGAAATTATTGAGAGTTCACTTATCTCAACACTTTGGTACATAACTTTTTTCTTCTCATCTATATTCATTTAACTCAATAGTTTGTTGGTATTCATTTCAAAAATAATTTTCATAATTATTCACATAAAAACTTGGGCAGATGTGGAAAAGTTGTAGATCAAAAAATGGCTAGGTAATTATCTGTATTTTCCAAGGTATTTTCCCCATTATTTTTACCTTTGAACCTAAATATTTACTGTTACTGTTCTTATAAGACTATATTCCAGAACTAGTGAAAAAATCAATGAAAAAGAAGAACAAGAAACAGAAAAGTGATGATGATTCTGATGAAGAAGATATTCCACAACCTGTGAAAAAAGAAGCAAAAAGCAGCACTCAGAAACATGACAGTGAAGATGAAATGGAAGAAGATGTACCCAAACCTGTTAAAAAATCTGGAAAGAAAAAGAAGAAAGCAGATAGTGATGAAGATTATGAAGAAGATACACCAGTACTTACAGAGGAAGATGTTTCTGAAGAAGAACCTCCAAAACCAGTTGTGAAACCTGTGAAAATAAAAGAAAATAAAGTTAAGAAAAAAATTCATGAAGAAGCTGCTACTGAAGAAAAAGAAACTATTGAAGAATCTGAACTGATTGAAGAAGTCACAAACAAATTAGCATCAACTGAAATCAGTGAAGAAAAACCTAATGATGAATCAAAAGAAAAGAAAATTACTCATAGGGAAAAGAAAAAACTGAAGAAACAACAGGAGTATGAGAAGCAAATGGAAACATTATTGAAAAAGGGTGGGCAGGGACATTCAGAATTGGACAGCAATTTCACAGTTTCCCAGGCTCAAAAGACAGCAGGACAGATGGCAGCACTGGAAAATGCTGTTGATATCAAAATCGAAAATTTCAGTATCTCTGCAAAAGGAAATGAATTGTTTGTCAATGCCAATTTGCTCATTGCCCAGGGAAGACACTATGGTTTGGTTGGACCAAATGGGTAAGACTATTTTATAGTATAATGGGGAGGGCTGTAGCAGTATCACTTTCCTCTTCACTGCTCAATGTTGAAAATATGTAATTAAAAATAACATGTGGGATATTCCATTTATGAAATTCCATCCATCTATCACATGACCTATGGTCATTTGATTTATATTCAACACAATTAGTTTTGAATTTGCAAATAGTGGGATTTGTTGATATCTATGTGATCACTTTTTCAATTCCACAATGTCCAGGTGATCTTTTTAGATCAATTAAAGATATGGTGTTGCTTTCTAGGTGTTGACATTGTAGTATAGCCATTAAGATATTCTTAAACAAGTGCAGTTGAACATCCTTTGAGTGAATTTATTACTTTTTTTTCAAAATAAATCCTGCTATTGAAGGACACTGGATCTCCCTGGCAGTAGGTTTACCAAACCAGCCAAACCACCAGAGTTGAGGACTTTTGACCAATGTTAAAATTTCATGTATCTAGAATGTAGAGTTTCAGTCTCAGTTTCAGCATTATCTAAGTTTTTTTCTGGAACATCACCATCATTATTCCTTATGAACAAAAGTGGATTTAATATTTATATATGCTATTATTTTTAGTAATCAGTGTGACAATTCAGTGTGATATGTTTTTCATCTCAGAAAAAAGATTCGAAAAAAATCCTTCCAAATGGTAGGCCCAAGGGGAGGTCTTTGACATTTTTAAACATTGCCCAGCTTTGAATATCATCCTGTAGAATTTCATTCTGAAGAGATGCAATAATCATTCATTTTCATGCACAGTTTTGTATTCTGAATCATTCATGCATGGAAGAGCTTTGTGGTGTGGAAACTAGGGTATCAAATTAGTTCCCTAGATTTTTATACTTTGCATAAACCAGTTGGGTCTTGGACAAGATGATCAGAAGATGGTGTAGAAACTCCTATCAAATTCCATTTACTGTTTTTCTGTCAAAGTTCTTGACCTACGGCCTACTTGACAGAAGGATTCTTTTCAATATCACGGATTATAGATCGCATTTTACCCGTTAGATGGCCAAATCTTAACAAAAATTCAAGGTTGGTAGAACTGATGATAATTAAAATTCCCAAATATTACAGTTTCCTACATTAAAATTTAATGTCATTTGATTTGAGGATATGTTATGAATGTTATGATATTTTTATTTCTGGTGCAAGCGGCGTGTAAGCGCCGTTTTCTGTATTCTGTCATGAAAGAAATCTGTAAAAAGTGTCGCCATCTTGCGGACAACTGAGAACTAATATGCCATTATTGCGGAATCTGCGATCAAGCGTTTTGGGAGAAACAAAACACTGTCTGTGATTACACCATATTCTATCCACCTTGGTCTTGGACTTACTTGATTTTTGCACAATACAGTCAGCATTGTTTATGACTAAAAACAGGTAGTGGTCAACATAACATGCTGTAGTATTCTTGGTTGTTTGTCACTGTTTTCATCTTGAGAATCATTTCATTTCACAAGATTTTTCTGCCAGAGGAAAATGAAACTTCTGAATCAGAAATCAGTGATAATGAATGTATGAAAATATCTTGAGTTCTTATATAATGTTGAATTGAACCATATATTTCTACATTCCATTCATAAATTCAAAAAAATATTTTTTTATTGGGGTCCTATTTTGCTTATTTAAAGAACACCTCAGCGTGTTTAAATCAGACTTTCAGAAACGCGCGTTTTTTAATGAAGTTACCATGAAAACACATGGTAATAACATCAACGACCCGAGAAAGGTGGAGTGTGAATGGTCAACGATTTAACATCGATCTGACAGGAGCACCATGTCAAATAAAATATCACCTATATCCAACCATTTTACATTGTTAGTTGTTATTTACAAATTTATGATCTCAAAGTGTACCAATAAAAAGCGTAAAGTAATCGTGGCCGTCGTGGTCGAAAAATCGCGCATGTTTGAAAGACCTTACCCCAAAAAAATCGAAAAATTTGCCTCATCATTGGGATCTCCGAAAGTAGAAGAGATATGAGATCGGTTAAATGGAGGTAAAGTTGCACACTTTGGTGCTCATTGAAACGCCGATTTAAAATTTTAAGAATTCCGAATACTTCCGAAGATTTTTGGAAAAAACCGAAAATCACAATAGAATGGTGAAAAGATATTTTATCTCTTCAGGTTGTTTCAAGAGTTCATTTTTTATTTTAAGGTTGAGTTGAATATTTTGTTTATTATTTTGGTGAAAAAATCATATATTCTGTTTTGTTAGTATTCATCGATAAAAGGTTAGAATGGAGCCATTTTTCAAATATTTTCAAGTCTTCATTTATCATATTTTCTAAAGGATTCTTGCCTTCATATAAAAGTACTGTATCATCTGCATACATGGTATATTTACTCGCTAGACCACTAATATTTTGAACATACAGTACATAATATAGTGTAGGTCCTAAAACAGAGCCTTGTGGGACACCCTTGTTGATTAATAGTTTATTTGACACAGAGTTGGTTGATTTTGTATTGATGGTCCTAATTTCAAGATATGAATTCAAAATATTTCTCACAGTGCCTCTGAGTCCCATTGTTTCTAAGTTTTCTAAAACTCTAAAAGTGTTGTATGATCAACTGTGTCAAAAGCCTTTTTGAGATCAATGAAAATATTGATTCTTTATTATGAAGGCGTTGAACCACCGCAATTATTTTCCATAATTCCGACTTAGTATCTCGAAATTATTTAATTCCGACTTATTATGTTGGAATTTCGACTTAATATTTCGGAATTCCGACTTATTATCTCAAAATTATTTGAATCCGACTTATTATGTCGGAATCCCGACTTAGAATCTCGGAATTATTCAATTCTGATTTATTATGTCGGCATTCCGACTTAGTATCTCGGAATTCTGACATGATAAGTTGGAATTAAATAATTCCCATATACTAAGTCGAAATTATGAGAAATGATTGCGGTGGTCCTTCAACGCCTTCGTACTTTCTCGGTATATTCAACAGAAAACAACTACCTTCCTGGCTATATGCCACGACGAACATTGAATTATATTTATAATGTAGGTTAATTAGGTCAGTTGATAAGTAGTATACAACGAATTGAAAAAAAAAATTTTTTTTGTAACAAAACACTTACATGAGAACAAAAATATCACAAAATCTTTCCATTGAAGTATAGGTTAAATGAACTAACTAAAGTAAAGCTATTTCGTAAGAATAAGAATCATGTTTGTGAAAAAATAAACAATTAACAAAAATTGAAACTCTTTGGTAAATCAAATAAAATTCAAATGAACTTCACTTCTTTTTTCTTTACCAAAACATCGCGTCTAGACTGTAAAGGCTTCCTTGACCTCAAGTGGCATGTATACATACTAAATACATTCAGATACCCATGTATCATATAATACAGATACATATATCAAATATCGTATTATGTTGGGACCCATATGCATTGCGTGCAATAAAATATAATTGAGCTCTTTTCTACCTTGAACGAGAGAGAGGAGAGTTCTCTCCTCTTCCATCTTTCTCTTCAATGCTACTATTTCTCTCAATTTTATTTCATTTACGTCCGTGTACTGACAGTTCCCGCTTTTTTTATCAATTTATTTGTGGTTATGTCTGATTGTCAGTGCTTGTCATAGTGTCCGTATTCTAATATACAGAAAACGTCAAAACAGCAGTGTCAAGTACATTTAGGAACTCAAGTTCAAGGTAGAAAATACCTCAATTGAGAGCTGTAAAGCGGCCCTGAGTGCACTCAACCCCCCTTCTCGCAGACACGGCAAGACCACCCTGCTGCGCCACATAGCGCAACGCGCCTTCGCCATCCCCCCCGGCATCGACATCCTCTACTGCGAGCAGGAGGTGGTGGCCGACGACAACTCGGCCGTCGACACCGTGCTGGCGGCCGACGTCAAGCGCAGCGCCCTCTTGAAGGAGTGCCGCGAGTTGGAGGAGAGCGAGACGCAAGACGCGCAGACGCAGGAGCGCTTGAACGACGTGTACGCGGAGCTGAAGGCGATCGGAGCGGATTCGGCGGAGCCGAGGGCCAGGAGGATATTGGCGGGGTTGGGGTTCGATAAGGAGATGCAGGTGAATCATTCGGTCAATCGAAAATGTACTTTTTATGCAACCGACACAAAAGTCGTCCATTTTATTACCAAAATTAGCTCTTGAATTGACGTTTCTATTACTGACACAAAAATTGGTATGTTGCTAGGCAACACATTTGGTTCCTACGAGCTAAAGTAGAACTTAAGTTCCTAGGAGCTAAAAACGATGTACTAGAGGTCATCAAGAATAAACAGCATTGTTATGGTTGGTTATTTGACTCATACCTGATATGGTTTTTCCCGATTCCGAGAGATTTGGCATTTTATACCCACGCTGGAGATATAAATACATCTTAGTTAGTATATAGTCTTTGAGTATTCATACTAGTGTATATAATCAAGGGTATAGTTGGGTATTATTGATCTCATAATATCAAATAATGACAAGTCAAAAAAAAACAAATTGAAATTGAAATGTCTTGGCGGAACTAGAGCATTAACTTTAAAATATTGAAATTGGCCAATAATATAGGTCAATAAATACAATATGAACTAACATTATACAAAACTAGAAACATACAGGTACATCAAAAATCCAGATCAACGTAGATAAAGCAGTTTGGACATAATTCAACGATTAATTGCAAAGGGACGTTTTGATTTTCAGAGCGCTAACCTTGGAATGAGATGCTGCATCAGCTTGATTTTCAACTTTGTAGCGTCGGATACCAAATTTGAAGATTCTATTATTTCCAAATTAATCTGTGATGTTTCATATTTGGATTTTATGTTGCGACATCACAAAAATGATTTATTTGCAGGATCGTGCAACGAAAAATTTTTCTGGTGGTTGGAGAATGAGGGTATCCCTTGCAAGGGCCCTTTACATTGAACCAACATTGTTGTTGCTTGATGAACCTACAAATCATTTGGATTTGAATGCTGTAATTTGGTTAGATAAGTGAGTATCAAGAAAACAATTTGAAGGAGTAATTTTAGGCATTTTAAATAATATTCTTTTCCCAAAATTTCCTCGAACAAATCAATCAAAACAAAATAAATTAGGGTAAAAACTGCATTTATTATCGAAAATTTTATTTGGTACTTACGTATTTTTGTCTGAAAAACACGAATTTGATGATGGAAATGTGAACAAACCACTATTTATCGAGATATTTCAAGAAAACGTTCGAAATTTCGCATTCTTTCTCCCCTTGTGTTGTACTTCAATGACACATTTTTATATAGAAAATTCAACAGGAAATATAATTTTTATGGCGAGTTTTTCCTATTTACTGAACAAGCATACCAGATGACGGCCATTTAATCAATATAGGTCGCGTGCACGAAGACCGACCCTGGAGGCAAAATATTGAAACACAACCTCATTCTTCTGTGATTTATTGAAACACAACCTCACTTTTTCATTTGGTTACAGAGGAATCAAAAGGTTGAAATAGTTTTTCACAATATTTTGGCATACGAATCGTGTTTCTTGCGTTATTCATTAATTCAAGCATGCCTTCGCATTGTGCTGTTGTACAATGCACAAAAAATGCAGCAAGAGACTAGGGAATATGATTTTTCAGGTAAATAGTAATCTCACATAGTTAGCATTATGAAATGTCATTCCTTATTAAAATTCCTTCTGCCTTCTGCCACTTCTGCAATTGATTGAAAATGTCTACAACACACACGATCGTCAGCATGTCAGACCAGTCCTACCGATTGATTGCATGAATCCAATCTTCTTGCATTATTCTAGAAATTTCAGGTATATTTCTATTAGCTGATCCTATTGCAGAAGGAATTCCGATGAGAAATCAGAGAAATAACCAAATTTCAAAAATGAAAACTATGTGAGTGACTATAGTAGGTACTTACTTTTGAATCATAATGTACCATCCGGATTTCTTCATCTTCCACTGCAGTTTTTGTGCATTTTACAACAGCACAGTGTGATGGTATTAGCGAATTGATGAATAGCGGAAAAATACGATTCATATGCCAAAATAATTGTGGAAAACTATTTCGATCACTTGTAAACAAATATGTTTTGCCTCCAGAGTCGGTCATCTGACAGTTCTTGCACGCGACCTATTCAATCCAAATACGAGATGTCAAATGTCAATAGATTGCTTTGGAATGACATTATACATGCCATTATTTAAAATTATATTCTTCTTTTCACTAAATATGGATAAATCTCAAGAAAACCATATTTCTAGTTGACTCATATGATAGAAAAAGGTAAAAGTGCACTTATCATGCGATGGGGTTTTTTTCGAAAATTTTTTTTGGTACTTACGTATTTTCGTCTGAAAAACACGAATTTCATAATGAAAATGTGAACAAACCACTATTTATCGAGATATTTCACTATAAAGTTACAAATTTCACCATCTTTTCCGCCTGTCTTCTGGATCACATTTAGAACAATTTGCCCTTCTTTTTCCATCATTGGACAATTTATATATATCACACAATGTTGGACACATCTTTTTTATTATATGAGTCAACTAGAAATATGATTTACTTGTGATTTATCCATGTTTAGTGAAAAGAAGGAAGAATATCATTTGAAATAATGGCGTGTGTAATGTCATTCCAAAGCAATCTATTGACATTTGACATCTCGTATTTGAATTGCATATGGATTAAATGGCCGTCATCTGGTATGCTTGCTCACTAAATAGGAAAAACTCGCCATAAAAATCATATTTCCTGTTGAATTTTCTATCTTAAAATGTGTCAGTGAAGTACATCATGAGTATATAAAGTGTCAAATGACAAAATAATAAGAGAGCAAGTACCTGTAAATGCATCCAACACAAGGGGGAAAAGAAGGCAAAATTTCGAACTTTTTCTTGAAATATCTCGATAAATAGTGGTTTGTTCACATTTTCATTATGAAATTCGTGTTTTTCAGACAAAAATACGTAAGTTCCAAAAAAAAATTTCGAAAGAAACCCCATCGCATGATAAGTGCACTTTTACCTAGAAAAAAATGTGTCGTACATTGTGATATATATAAATTGTCCAATGATGAAAATGGAAGGGCAAATTGTTCTTAATGCCATCCAGAAGACAGGCGGAAAAGAAGGTGAAATTTGTAACTTAATAGTCAAATATCTTAATAAATAACGGTTTGTACACATTTTCATTATCAAATTCGTATTTTCAGACAAAAATACGTAAGTGTCAAAAAAAAATTCTGAAAAAAACCCATCGCATGATAAATGCAGTTTTACCGAAACTAGAAATTTTAAGGAAAAATTCTCTGCACCAACAATAATTTGAACTTATTTCTAACATTGACAATTATTTTTCCATCACCCTGAAGCTGTAACTCTTTTTAGTTACCTCCAAGGATGGAAGAAGACCTTGTTGATAGTATCTCACGACCAGTCTTTCTTAGACAATGTTTGCAACGAAATAATCCATCTAGACAATAAAAAATTATACTATTACAAGGGAAATTATTCCATGTTTAAAAAAATGCATGTGCAGAAGAAAAAAGAGCAAATAAAGGAGTATGAAAAGCAGGAGAAACGAATCAAAGAACTAAAGTCTTCTGGATCTTCCAAAAAGCAAGCAGTAAGCAAAGCCACCTACATATTATTGTATTTTATGATAGATAGATTTGTTCTCATAGTTTTTGAATATTTTTCTGTAAATCAAATAAAAGTGATACCTTTTGTCTTACAATAATTTTAATCAATATTGACATGTACTTTATTTAAAAAAAGGAAATATCTTGTAGGAAAAGAAACAAAAAGAAGCTCTTACTAGGAAACAAGAAAAAAATAGATCAAAAGTGCAAAAACAAGAAGATGATACTGCACCTACTGAATTGTTGCAAAGGCCTAAAGATTATTTGGTCAAATTCAGATTCCCGGATCCCCCGCCTTTACAACCTCCAGTATTAGGATTGCACAGTGAGTACGAAAACAGTACCTGAAAAATAATTTTCTCGCACTTTTACAAATATATCACGTTTTTCTTGACTATTCATGAATTTTTAATGATAATTATTATTACAAATTTGAAAATTTCACTCCTGTATAGACAAGTAGACAACTCCTATAGATTTTTTTCTTTTTTCTTCAGATACGACTTTTGGCTATCCAGGTCAGAAGCCACTTTTTAGGGATACCGATTTTGGTATAGATATGAATAGCAGGGTAGCCATAGTGGGCCCTAATGGGGTAGGAAAATCAACATTCTTGAAATTACTGACAGGCGATCTTACGCCGGTCAATGGAGAAAATAGAATGAATCATAGATTGGTAAGTTTCGATTTTCGATTTTTAGCAAATTTTCTTACCCAAAGAAAAAACCGAGAATTATTTCTACGAAATTTTATTCCACAAAGAAATATTTGTCTCGTTGAAAACAGTTTTTTTGGACTCGCTGACTTCTAGGAATCGCCTACGGCTCGGCCTAGAATTTTGTCTACTCGTCCAAAAAACAGTATTTTCCAGACTTGTTACGTAAATTACTATTATTCAGTTCAACCGAATAAACATAGATGTCGCACCTGTTGTGCATTGCGCGAATTTAACAAATTCGATTCCAGCGAATCGGCCGATTTGACTAGCACTCCGGCAAGCACCTCCCCGCCGAAAATAGTATTGACAAACATCGATTGTTTGGCCTATCGATAGTTTCCGATAGTGTTTAAAAGAATAATCGATATATCGATAGTCACTATCGATAGTTTTATCGGAGAAAATGTGAGGTTGAAACAAAGTATTTGACAAAATAATATCATTTTATTTAACGCTTTCTACACTTTTGGCACGATTTCGTCTAATTTGTTGGTTCCAAAATGCAATTAGGTGGGAATGGAGTGGACAAATGACTTGTGACAAAAATTAAGAATGACGTATGGGGTATGGGGCATGCATTGCGCATGCTCAGCCAACTCTTCTACTTCAGGTTTAAGCTTCGTGTAGTCCGAATAAATTCTTGTTGATGGTTTCGCATCGGCATATCTTCTTTAGGCCTACTAAAATTCAGCAGATTCAAAGAAAAACACATTTTTTACGTCAATTTCATTGTTTCGCATCGGCATATCTTCTTTAGGCCTACTAAAATTCAGCAGATTCAAAGAAAAACACAGTTTTTACATCAACTTCATTTTTACGCTATCGATACTATCACTACAAACTATCATTGGTTTTCGATAGTAAGAACTATCGGATATATCGATAGTTGCAATCGATGTTCCGGCCAGCCAAAAAGACCCCCGTAGAATACCTAATGCGGCAGTTCGATCTGCCGTACGAGAAGGCCAGGAAGCAGCTGGGCACCTTTGGCCTGGCCAGCCATACAAAATAACGTATTATTATGTTTTTATGTTACAACACGTGGAAGTTAATCTATTAATACACATACAGAGATTTATAGGAATTTCGATTTATTTGATACATAAAATACAAATCTATAAAGACTATCTCTCTGGAAATATTGATAGCGAAACATATCGTGTGTTTTTGAGAGTGTTGTGAAGTTTTTTCAATTTCACAAATTACAAATTTCTGCGAATCGGCATATTCCACTAGCGCCCCGGCGAATCTATAATGGCTATCACTTCTCTGGCAATTATTCCCACCATTCACGATTTCATTCATCTGTGTTTGGGGTTTAGGATTGATAGATATATATATATACATATAATCTGATGGCTGACCACTTTTAACATCGATTTTAACTCTTCCCAAAGGTAGGTCCTTGTCCTGACGGCTAACCATTTTCAACATTGAATTGGACTCTTCTCAATGGTCCCTGTCCGACAGTGGTGCCGCGCGACGTCAGATTTCCAACAACAATGATTCCCCAGAGTTATCCCCACCATTCGCGATTTCGTTCATTTATGCGTGGTTGGCGTTTAGGATTGTTGGCGAATCATTTTTAAAGACTTATGAATGAATCGCGGAAGCTACGGTATTAGCAAAACATATCGTGTATTCTGACAATGTTGTAAACTTCTTTCAATTTGAAAATTCCGATTCCAGCGAATCGGCCGATTCGACCAGCACTCCGGCGAGCACCTCACCGCCGAAGAGACCCCCGCGGAATACCTGATGCGGCTGTTCGATCTGCCGTACGAGAAGGCCAGGAAGCAGCTGGGCACCTTCGGTCTGGCCAGTCACGCGCACACCATCCGCATGAAGGACCTGTCGGGCGGGCAGAAGGCTCGGGTGGCCTTGGCCGAGTTGTGCTTGAACGCTCCCGACGTGCTCATTCTGGTAAGAAAACATCGCTTCTTCATTCCTATTGCCGTTTTTTAATAAATCCCTACTAATATTACACCGTGCCCCAGCTAAAATGTCCCCCCCCCCTGTAAAAAATCAAACGCGCGATCGAATGAAATTCAAATGATATTGAGAAATAGACATTTCCCTTCAAAATTTGAGAACTTCCCCGTTTTCAATAATTATTTTGTTCTTTTAACATAAGTCGACGTATATAAACTGTATAAAAAAAAATCCACAAGTGACAGAATAAGTGTCACCCTGGCCGGCATTTGAAAATGGTGCTAATTTTGACTTCTTTGGATCAAATACATTGTTTTTCTCACTATTTTCAAAATTTGTATGTGGTAATACTTTCCGATTCTTTTTCAGGATGAACCTACAAACAACTTGGACATTGAATCCATAGATGCCTTATCAGAAGCTATTAATGAATACTCTGGTGGTGTTATTATCGTTTCTCACGACGAAAGAATGATCAGGTGAGTATTTTTTTTTCATTGTAAACTATCTAGAAGGTAGCAAGCAGTCTAAAACTACAGCGTTTTATTCTCATTTTATGTGTTCATCTAGAAACCATAACAAATTTGTTTCCTTCTGTGTAGTAATGATTTCAAATTTCCGTCTTCTCTGTTCAGTTTTCAGAAAAGTTGTTTGATTATCACATATTCGAAAAATATTTGAATGACACGAGGGAGCTATCTTCACTTTAATATTGAAATGCTCATGGAATTCTTCACCTCTTTTTTTCAACAGGATGCTTTTATGCCTTAACCTCACAATATCATTGCCCTTCTTCCTTCCTAACTTTCTACTGATTAGGCTCCTACAAATGATGAATAAACAGACTATTGAGCATAATATTGTGTCAACTGAAACTCACAACTTACCAGCAAATTCAATTATAAATGCCCATAATACCATGTTGAGGATTTATTCTTCTTCCTTCCTGTTATTGGCCTCGTTTTTTGAAGCATTCATTAGGTGTGACAGATTTATTTTACAAAACGATTTACGCACTTTGCACTTTTTTCAACATCATTCCAGGACGCCGGATAAATATGATGATCTAGTCATGTTATCGCCATCTAGTGGCGTTAGTTCTAAGGTAGGCGGATGCGATCGCGGCATACACTGTATGATGTTGCCTTCTATAGTCAACACGTGCAGACCCCTACGTCTACAATGCTGCAAAATGATACAACCACTCTGCTGACAGATGGCATTACCTGACTACTTGATTGGAAGATCGATCAATCCTATTCTTTAAAAATCTCTTAAATAAGAGATCTAGGACGAACGAAGTTGTCATCAGCAGGAGCGACACAGTACTGTTTTGGTCCACCAGGGCTCATCAGTCACTCTCTCGGTCTACTGACAATTTGATTTCTTGACATACACATCATATATCAGACTTTCTATCTGACAGCTTGATATTGCCAACTTTGTGAAAATAAAACTTGTGGATTAGAAGCTGTTTAGATAAGAATGTGGGTTTCCTGGCTTTATTGAGGGCGGAAAATGGACTCTGATTTTATTAAATTCCACGTAATAATTCATTGAAAAAATTAGGTATTGTATGAATGTGAATTTGTATCAACGTTTTCCATTATCTTAGGGAAACTGGATGCTCACTTTATGTCATAGAGGACCAAACTATCAATGAGGTCGAAGGCGATTTTGACGACTACAGAAAAGAACTTCTAGAGAGCCTAGGAGAAGTCATCAACAGTCCCAGTATAGCAGCTAATGCGGCAGTAGCTTGAAGGTTTTCAATATTTTCGTCGGATCAACATGGCCTTACTGACGGTTTTTAAGATGTATACAATTTCGTGAACTTTTTATAGTTTTTTTTTTTTTAATTAATTAAGGAGTCATTATCTACATCTATTTATTGTTTTTTTTTCTATAATTTGTTTCTGTTGTTCACAGAATTATATACATCGAACAATTGTCATCAATATTTCTCTAAAGTGATATTCTTTCATGTTGAATTAACGGACATATTTCACTTGAATTGAACCGAATCAGTTAACATTCAATCTATATGTATGTATAATCAAAGTATTTTGAAAGAATGAATATTAACTGATTCAGTTCTAGTGATATATTTCAGTTAGTTCAAATTGAAAGAATATCACTAGTTTTAGCTCAAAATCTTACTCTCCTTTAATAATTATATGAATTGATATTTTTGCCAAATCCCATTATTAAATTGGAGATAAAAATTTATCGTATTCATTATCACCTTACAAAAATGGAACCACCTTAAATGTCCATTAAAATTAGGGACATTTTATTTTGTAATGGTTTTTGATATGCAACATCCCAACGTCCCTCGTTTTTTTCGTTCGGAATGTACATACATATTTTTTGATTTGCCAAACAAACACCATACCATTTTCCAGCATTTCTCAAATTTTGAAAATTAATAACAAGTTGTATACAAAATGATTGCGTTTTTAATCATCAAAGTTGACTTCTTATCACATAAAAACTGATTTGAAATTACTATATTTTGTTTAAATGGTCTAGTCCAGTGGTCGGCAACAGGCGGACCGCGGTCCGTATCCGGACCGCGGAAGGTCAAAGGACGGACCCTTCTTAGAGGTAGATAGGTACATAGCTGTTTTTAATGTTTTTATGATGTGCTTTATAGCATCATAAGATAATGCTTTGGAGTGCGAGGGTACGGGCGGGTGAAAGGGTGCGGGTGGGAAAGAGCGGACTGGCCCATGGGACTGGCCGGCATATTTCGACCTTTCGATATGTCAGTTATTAGGTAGTTGTGATCCTGTGAGGAGCATTCGTTCATTGTTCAAATTTGTCGTGCATCAAAACATTTCCTACCTACTATGAATCCTAAAAAGCGAAAAGTTGACAGTGAAAATAGGAAGTTTCTGACTGAGTGGACTGAACAATATTGTTTCACGCTGCCTGATAGGCCTAAACCAGTTCCCGTTTGCCTCATATGCAACAAAACTGTCGCGATTGTTAAAAGTGCAAATTTAAAGCGACACTACGAAACAACTCATCAGCAGTTCCACAAAAACTTTCCTCTTGGCAGTGAAGCTCGTAAAGAAAAACTACAAACATATCTAACTTCTTACAAAAAAAGCACTGCCTTACTAGTTCACTGCATGAGCGAGCAAGAAAAATGCACAGAAGCAGCATTGCGTGTGTGCTGGACGCTTAATAAACACCAAAAGCCGTTTTCAGACTCTGAGATAGTGAAAGAATGCATGTTGGAAGTGGCCACTGCACTTTTTGAAGAGAAAAAGGATATTGTCGCCGCAATTCAAGGTATTCCATTATCGGCAAGGAGTAATACAAGAAGAACAGAAATTTTAGCTGCTGAAAACAAAAGTAGTCTGCTCGAACTTCTGCAGAAGGCACCTTGCTACGCCATAGCACTTGATGAATCATGTGACATTGTTGATGATGAACAAATGTCTATTTTTGTGAGATTTTTTGACAGTAAAGTGTTCAGGGAAGAATTACTAGCGATATTGCCGTTCAAAGGTAAAACTCGGGGAGAAGATTTATTCAAGACATTTGATGAATTCATGACGAAATCAAATATTAGTTATGATAAAATGGTGTCCCTTTCAACTGACGGGGCTCCAGCGATGATTGGCAAAGAAAAAGGATTAGTAAAGAGAATTAGGAATAAGAATGCAGCCCTAATATCATATCAGTGCATAATTCACCAGACAGTCCTTTGTGGAAAACTCAGTGCTAGGTTGAAAGAAGTAATGGACACCTTGGTCAAGTTGATAAATTTTTTAAGATCTCGTTCTGCTCTTCAGCACCGACAGTTGAAGGAGTTTCTTTCTGAATGTGATTCAGCGTATTGTGACTTACTGCAACACAATAATGTTCGTTGGCTAAGTAAAGGTCATGTTATTGAGCGTTTCTGGCAAGTAAAAGAACATGTAACCCACTTCTTGCAAAACTTGGATACACAGGAAGCAAGAAATTATTTGGATTTCATAACAAATGAGCACAATATGCTAGCTGTGGCTTTCCTAAATGACATCTTGAAATATTTGAATATGCTCAACACCGAGTTACAAGGAAATGGGAAATTAATATGTGATCTCATACAAAGTGTGTCTGCTTTTCGTCGCAAGCTGAATATCTTTGAAGAGGACGTTAAAATTCAAGAGTTCCTTCATTTTCCAACAATTCTCAAATATGAGAAGCAAACCTCTGAAGAAGACATTGCTGTATTTTCAAGGTTCATAACAGATCTTGGGAATGAATTTGCTGCAAGATTTCAAGACTTCGCAGAGATAGGAAAGCTGTCTCAGTTCCTCAAATTGCCTTATGAAGTTGCTGCAGCGGCAGAATGGACTGACGTTGCTGTGAAATTGTTCAGTCTTTCAAAGCCTTCGCTTCAAATGGAGATAATTGATTTGCAAGAAGATAAAACTGCATCCACTGATGAATTTTGGGGTAAACATGTTCCAGAAAAGTATGCAAATTGTAAAAAATTAGCTATCAACCTGGTTACTATGTTTGGCTCCACATATATATGTGAATCTTCCTTTTCAAAAATGAATTTTATGAAGAACAAGTATCGTTCCAGATTAACGGATGCTCACCTTGAAGACACTCTTCGCATTTGCTTTTCCCCACGTGAACCAAACTATAAAAAATTGGCTCAAGACCGCAGGTGTAATTTCTCGCATTGATTTTTGAGAATAGTGTTATACCTGATTACTTACATAGAAAATCGAAATAAAAATTCAAAACTAGTACGACTTTTTTTTCGGACCTCGAAACAAATTTCCATTAAATATCCGGACCCCAGTTGAAATTACTTGCCGACCCCTGGTCTAGTCCGTCCCTGGTTGTTTGATAATCATGTAAATATCTTAAAATTAAATTCCACCTAAATATTCAAAAATATTTTGGTCCAAAAGTAATTATGTATCATGAACGATTGACATATATCTATGACTAAGAACATTTTTGACAGGTCATACAGGGTGGTTCTGGTTCAAATTCGAACGTCTACAATTCAGCCTAATCCCTCTGAGTCCTCGAAAACGGTAAGAGATACAGAGCCGGTGAATCTGGTTATGAGTTGCACCATTAGATAAGTGTTATAAACGTCCTTTTAGTAACGAGTATTTTAAGCACCAGCGCAGGGAGTGTTTAATAAATATTATTTCTTATTTTCTGATGTGATGAAAACTGAAAAAAAGTTTTCATCTGTCAATGAATGCAATGTTGTACTTGGACATTTTTCATAAATTTTGCTCGAAATAATACAGGGTCTCTATAAATGATCGTAACATCGTAGTGGCTGTTGACATTTTTTCCATTTGCCGCTTTCTACTAATGGTGTTAACAACATTTAACGACCAAAAAGAGATAAAGTGATCATATACAGGATCTTTTTTATATCGTCTTGAATACACTATGGAAATGTATAGTTTGAACAATAATGGAACAAATCAGAAATATTTATTAAAGAAGTAATAAATAACGGTTTATTTCATTAACCTACATCAAATGTTCAAAATGTTCTCCGTTGTTCTCCAAGCATTTCAAAACTCTACGCCGTTTGTTGTCGAAAATGTTCCTCAGCATTTCCGGGCCAATATTTTGGCAGCAATGTGTTATTGAGGCTTGCAGCTCTTCAAGGTTATTATTGTCTCTATTGAATACTTCGTCTTTCAAATATCCAAAAAAGCAGAAATCCAAAGGCGTCAAATCTGGAGAACCTGTTGGAAAAGAAGGATTAACTCCTCGACTTATCACACGGTTGTCATAAAATTCTTGTAAATATTCTAAATTTGCACGTGTGGTGTGGGCAGTGGCCCCATCTTGCTGAAAATAGCCAACTCGAATTTCTTCATTATCAAGTTGATTGACTTGTCTGTACCTTTCACCATTGATAGTGTCATCGAAGAAAATCGGTCCATATATTCGCCTATGAGAAACTGCTAACCACACCCCAATTTTTTGAGAATGTAGTGGAGTCTCAATGAAATTGTGGGTATTCTCAGATCTCCAAAACCTAAAATTTTGTGAGTTCACGTATCCCGACAAATGAAACCAAGCCTCATCGCTGGAAGATGTTAGGTCCAATAGCTGATCATCGTTGAGATTATTTTGGAACCATTGGCAGTACTCCAGACGACGTGGGATATCTATTGGCAGAAGTTGCTGTAGTACCCTGTCTTGTAAGGGCGCATATGCAATCTTTTCTTGAGCACTTCAAGGCATGTACTTAGTGGCACAACAGATTGTAAAGATAATCTCTTCAATGACGTTTGGGGATTTTGCTCAACACGCGCCCCTAGTTTTTCGAAAACTTCTTCCGATATTTGGGGCCTTCCTCTTGATTTTTTTCAAAACGTTTCCAGTTTGGATGAATCTGTAGATCACTGTTCTGATGTGGGCTTTCAAAGAAGATTCTTGAATTTGTACATTAGGATATTTCGCCAGGTACTCATCCTTGCAGGCTACTCATCCTTGCAGGCTACTACCGAGTAACTCCATCCACCATTGATGAATGTGCCATTTCGACAATAACACATTACAATAAATGTATTCTGCTCCGAGGAATAAGCCATCCCTCTTTTCAACACGACAATCACGAAGTAGGTAACAGAATCGTTTGAAAATTTTAACGAAAAACTGACAATAGTGAGTTTATGAGCTATGACAGTATAATGATTGATGTCAGAAATTAAATTCGAATATGTGAATCTGAGAATCTCCATAAATGAAAGGCGGCAAATGGATAAAATGTTTCAACGGCTACTATGATGTTACGATCATTTATAGAAAACAATACAAATATAGAGGCCATCCACTTCTCTGGGAGACCCAAAAAAGTGAGACAGAGCTGAACTAACTTTTTTTATTTTAAATCGAATCAAACATACACTACATAATAAGTTAATAAAATATTACAACATAATTAAAAAGAATAAAAATAAGTTAAAATCTATCGCACAATCTGAATACAATACAAAGAGTAACAATCCTTAGCCAGAGTAGAGCATATACAAACAAATACTACAGATATCTAGCTGAAAAACAAATCATGAAAGATCAAAAGTCAAACAATCGTCATAAACCTGAAAGAATATTTAAATAACTGATACTATGGAGCAAAGGCACAAGTATGAACATTTCCAAAGAAAACTTTTTCAAAAAAAACCTTCGACTAGATTCAGCAATACAGCATTATTTTTTCATTTGAGCAATTTTTCAAACGAGTCAAAAGACAAAACACTTTAAAAATGTCCATAGTGCTGAGATAGATGTACTCTGCCCTGCAAAAAAATCAAAAAATAACATTCATCTGCTTTTCATCTTTGAACTATGGGTTGATTCATTAGTAAGAAAGCTAAAGTCATACTTTTTAGATCTACTAGAAGATAAAAGAGGGTGTGACGATGAGCTGTTATTTTTTGCAGGGAAGTTAATCATAGAAAACACTTGTATTGTTTGGAAGCCTTGAAACATTCAACAAATAAATGGAACATTTTTGTAATTAATGATTAATATCATATTTGTCATATTTGATTCTTTTTATATCAACTAATACTGGAAGACAAATACTTGAATGAGCAAGATATTACTGAGCCATAATTATGTTTAAATATTTTTTGTAACGTTGAAAAATAGGGTATATTTTGAGTGAGTATAAATAATTTTATTTATTTTTCATGTAGTTTTTCTCTTCTCCTGAGTATCAAAAGGTTATTAATATGAATTTAAGTAATTCCATTCATTTGGAAATTGAGTAAGCAATAAAAAAATGGACTCAAACCAAAACCTACTACTAAAAATTAAAATGTCAATAATAAAATGGTGAGACTCAATGGAAGTATATAGATTTTTTTAGTAATCAAACAGATATAGATTCTATAAAGAAATAACAATGAACAAATAAATTAACAATTACTCAGTTATTCGATGTTAAAATAAAATTCAACATAAAAAAACTATAAAAATATATCATGAAGTAAGGCACTTGTTCATTAAATAGGGCATGTAAAAAATGACATGCCAAATGTTTCGTTTCAATCAATGGATCATTAATTTAATATCTGAATTCACAAAGATGTTTTACTTGGCTTCCCAATCTTATTACAATGGCCTGGTGAAGTTTGCTGGGAACATGCCTTTATCTCCATTTTCTTTCATCCCCATCAACCAGCCTTCCTCCTGACAAAACAAAAAAAGGTCATCAATTAATTGGAATATAAAGTTTTCTACAATCTCCTATGAAACACATACAGAGTGAGTTTTTGGTGTGCAAGGGTCTTGTGATGCGGCCGATATTATGGTGGTATTTACATTGTTGTCAGATCTCTCCTTTTTCCGGAATAATAATGAACTTTGTTATTTCAAATGGATCACCCTGTATATTTTTAGCTTTTTGAAATCCTTAAGAAATACTGAATATTTTTCATGTCATGTTCCCTATACCTAAATGCCATGATTTCGGAGACATAGCTACATTTACATACAATAACAACTTTGACGTTTCAATAAATTAGTATTGTTGGTGTTCAGTGAAAGTCACAATGGATCGTATATCTGAAAAAGAACGAAATGAAAAAAGTTTAACGAAACTGGCTCAGTGAAAGATTTATCCAAATCAGGACGCAGAAAAACTGCATCAACTGAAAACAAATCTTTAGATGTTTGTGTCCTGTTAGAAGACGATCCACACTTGAGTACTAGACAAATATCCAGGGAACTTGATATTTCGCAAACATCCGTAAGGAAAATTTTACGTGAAAATAAATTCCATCCATACAAAATAAGATTAGTTCAAGACTTGTCAGATGATGATTTCGATAGACGTGAAGAGTTTGCAGACATAATGATGGAAAAATGCTACAATCAAAACGATCCAAATTTTTTAAGTAATGTTATGTTTTGCGATGAGGCCACTTTTTTGATCAATGGAAACGTAAATCGGCAGAATTGTTGATACTGGTCACGTAACAATCCACAAAAACTGAATGTATGGGCTGGAATAATTGGCGCCAAAATAATTGGTCCCTTTTTCATTGAGGAAAACTTAAATGGTCCGGCGTATTTAGATTTATTGGAAAATAGTATTATACCTGAGTTGGCTCGATTATTTCCAAATCCGAGTAAGTATTTTCAATTACATTTTAATGTAGAAATTTCATTATTCGAAACGTTCAGACAATAACAATATCCCAAACGGCAATATTTGGCTGCAACAAGATGTTGCTCCACCTCACTATGCGCGTGTGGTGAGGCAATACCTATATATATAATGTGTTTCCCAGAAGATGGATTGGAAGGCAGTTTTATCGAATGGCCCCCGCGATCACCCGACATGAATCCTTTAGACTATTTCCTGTGGGGTCACTTAAAAAACATCGTTTATAAAACAAAACCCGCCAATATTCAGGAATTAAAAGATAGGATTACCACAGAGATAAGAAGAATTGAGCAGTCAGGGATGTTGCAAAATGTATTGCAAAGTTTTAAAAATCGCATGGCTTGTTGTATTGAAGTAAACGGACAACATTTTGAGCATCTGCTGTAATCGCCTTTACTGTATGTTTTCTAAAATTCCTAATTTTTCTACTACTCAACATACCTCTAACATGAAACAAACATTTAAAGATTCGTCTTCAGTTGCTCTAGGTTTTCTGCGCCATGATTTGGATAAATCTTTTACTGCACCAGTTTCGTTAAACTTTTTACTAATTTACTGACAGTAGACCTTGTAATGATATTTCTATTTGGATATAAGTTATAGAAGATTATTCAAATTAAACGAGTTTATTCAATCATAGCCATCTAAATGTATTATTTTAACTTCGGCGAAGATAATGTAAATGTAGCTATAACTCCGAATTTATGGCATTTAGGTATAGGGAACATGACATGGAAAATATTCAGTATTCCTTAAGGATTTCAAAAAGCAAGAAATATACAGGGTGGTCCATTTGAAATAACGAAGTTCATTAATATTCCGGAAAAGGAGAGATCTGACAACAATGTAAATACCACCATAATATCGGCCGCATCACAAGACCCTTGCACACCAAAATCTATGAGGCGTTCCATACATAAAACTCACTCTGTATACAGGCTGATTCACGGTAAATGGTACATTAGACGTTTCTGGAGAAGGCAACGTAGGATTATTTTCAAAATTTGGTTCCTTCGATAATTAACTGTGTTCTATCGACCTGAAATATCCTCAGCGCTGCGGCGTTGCCGCTTATATTGAAAAGTAGCAACAACTTTGATTTTTTTAATGGGACACCCTGTATATCATTCCATTTTTAGAATCTCCATGAAGACTCATTTGACCCTTGTATCAAGAAATGTTGCTACAGCTTCCCCTTATACTATGTACCAGCACTTTCATATTCTATTTTTGCCAATTATCTATTAAGATACAGAGAGATTCATCTAACTAATCCATTTGAAGTTGAAAGATATATGAACGTGACTTCATCCTGAAATATCTGGCTGGCAACCATAGCCGGAAGTGATCTATTTTTGTAGATTATGGCATTTTCTGAATTGTATGTAAAAGCTATTGCTATTCTAAATTGGTTTCATTTGTTTTGAGAAATCGACAGATGCAGTGACTAACGGAAATGTCTGTAGTTATGACGTTTTCATGACGTAGAAGCTGAATATGGAGTGAATACAGTTATTACAAGTTTCTGACTAATATCAGTAAAGCATATAAAGAAAGCCAGAAGAAGAAAGCATAACCTCAAAAACATTATTTTGTTTCTGTTAATTTATTGGTGAACTGCATGTTGATCTAATTTTGGTTGAGGAATAATGCTCTGGAATATGAAACACCCTGTTTAACATTTTGAGATACAATTCAAGGACTCCTGATATGACAATATATACTGAAGAATAGATATAATGGGCCTGTCTCAGTGAAAAATTGTATTTCATTATTTCAAAGTACTAACCCTAACTAGTTCACTGTTACAAGTATTTTTCCCAGAGCTCTGTACATTTTTTGAATAATTATTGAAATTCATGATATTTCGTAACATGAAAAACGCGGGAAAACGCATGACGTAATCATCCGAATGAATTCTCCTTGTCTGTGAGCTGTAAGCACGCTGTAAGGCAAGTGCAAGAATATTTCTGATTGTCATTTCAATCAAAATATAAAAAAAAGTTGAAGCCTACTCAGAAGATGCTCGCCCTAGACTCTAGTGAATTTTCTGGACTGAATACTTACTGCAGATAACAGAGAATCAACACAGAAAATCAGAAAATAAAAGGAATATCCTTGAATATTCGCATCTTGACTAGATGAAACATGGATTTGAAGATGAAAGTGACGTTAGGAAGTTAGGTTGACATTGTGGTTCGTCTTCTTCTTCTTTATGGTAACTCTAGGCATTACGTTGTTGCCAGTGCCACAAAATAATTTGAGTCTAAATAAAATCTCGATCATTACTAGGAATACTAGGATATTTTTATTGTTTTTTGAATTGACTCGGCCGTTACTTGATGGAAATCCATGGCAAATGTAAACACTTCACAAACGATAAGATTTCCACAACATTTTGTGGAAATCTTATCGTTTGTAAAGTTTTCACATATTTTTATTGGTACAGAAGCATCTTCCAAGTATATAAATAAGTATTCAATAACTGATTAGGAACGCAGTCGAATTATTGTCATCTGTGAATGTGAATACTGTTGTGTTGTCATTAGTCATATTGAATCTCATAAGGTAATTACTAGTTACAAATCTGGCAGCGTCGGAATATGTGGTCCTACTTTTTATGTGGGGGCCAGAAATCAGACAACGATGGCTTTTTTCCACATACCTGTTCTTCAGGATCATCGTATTCGATAACAGATACGATTTCTCCGACATCGAAAGACAGCTCGTCCACATCTTCCCTTGTATACTTGTATGTGGCTTTCACTCTGTAGAGCACGCCTGGGGGCAAGTTCTCAGTGCTGGCATCTACGAACAATCGATTAAAACATAAATCATTAGGAAATTCATATTTTACATTGGAGAGAGATGTAGGGTGTGAAACCTTGGAGCGTATCAACTTTCGATTTTCAAATGGAACACCCTGTATTTAATTCCATTTTTAGATTCTCCCTGAACAGCTAGATTTCATCAATGCATCACACTTGGGGTCTAGCCAGAATTATTACAGAAATATAGGGTGCTCAAAATCGAGATTTTCTACTTTAGGATAAGGTGGTTAAAGATTCATAATTCTGATCATCTTGTATCTGTTCCAATTGAATGTCAGTGGATAGTGAATCAAAAGTAAAGATAAGAACATGATAGGCGTTTTGAACGATAATGGATAGTTTTGACACAAAAAATCCTTAAGTAGAAAAATCTCGATTTTGAACACCCTAAACAATTTCCTAAAATGTGAGAAAGTGCCTTCTAGTGAGCATATTCGATGTTCCAAATTTCAGATATATAGCTAGAAAACAAATGGAGAAAAGGGGGGTCTGTGTCACCCAGTACATAAACTTTATTGAGGTTATCTTTGCCATAAATCGCAGCATTGTCGTCTGGCGTTCAACACGTGCCTTAGATCCATACAAAAAGTATATATTGTTCAAAAACTATCAGAACTTAACCTCAATCTAATACATAAAATTCTCCCGTCCCTGTCAAACTCCTCCGAAACGACTTGACCGATACCAACTTATAGAAATTTTTGTCATATTCGGTAGGTCTGAGAATCGGTCGTAAACTGTTTTTCAAATTGAAAATTCGAAATGACGAATCCAATATGCCGGACGAGTTTTGTTATTCGATTTCATTCAAATTTGGTATCGTATCTGGAGGTTTTCGGGACGGAGATTATGATTCCTTCGCCAAAACTAGGAAATTCAAAATTGCGGACGAGTTTTTTCAATTATGATCCGATTCTATTCAAAGTTGGCATCTGGGGATATTCGGAGTCGGATTCTTTCGTCAAAATTTTGAAATTCAAGATGGCGGATCCAATATGACTGACAAGATCCGTAATTATGATCCGATTCAATCCAAAATTGGTATCTAGGGGGTTTTCGGGGTCGGAGATTATGATTCCTTTGTCAAAATCAGAGAAGTAAAGGTAGCGGATCCAATATGGCGAACGAGTTCTGTTATTATGATCCGAATTTGTAACTAGGGGTGTTTTCAGGGTCGGAGGTAATGATTTGTTCTTCAAAATTGGGAAACTCAAGATGGCGTATATGATGGCGTCTAACAAAATATTTTCTAGAAATAATGTTTATGGCAAAACAACGTTTGCCGGGTAATAGCTAGTAAAGTATATACAGGGTGTCTGTAAAAGGTTGGGACATGTAGATTTAGGCCAACTTACCTATATCCAAAATCGTCTCGTTGAGTTGGTACAAGGCGTTGAAATTATTTTGGAAAACAATAATTTCGCTCATGAAAAGAGTAGGCTGCGATCGATTTTCATAATTTTTGGCATGACATGTTCTGTGACTGTAAGTCACGTTTTGAGATGGTTTTAATCATAACCAGTGACCTGCATGTGCTTCAAACAACCATGTTGCCGTACCAATTTGGTGATAACTTTTCAGAGGTCAGACTGATAACTTTCAGTTTTTTTTTCCACAAAGATATTCCCTTCGTGTTACTTTTTGATAAGTCTCGAGGTTCATTTGCAAATAAATGATTTCTGATCTGATGCATCCTGCGCATTTTTGAATATTAATCCAATTAGTCGGACTGTTTATTGATCGTGGCTACACTGTATTCTTATTGTGAGCAAACTGATATGTTGCTGGTCCTCGCGGGCTTTACAAGAACTCTCGCGTTACAAATTTAGTGATAGCTATTCAGGACCTAAGGTGAGACTTTTAACGCCGTGTACCAACGAAACGATTTAGTATATAGGTGAGTTGGCGAAAATCAACTTATTTTTATCTCAGGAGTCTACAGTCAAGCCATGTCCCAACCAGATTATTTATTTTAATGCATAAGATGCCTCAGATCAGATATTACTTTTTTGCAAATGAACCTCGAGACTTATCAACAATTAACACGATACAAAAAATATTTCTGAAGGAAATATCTTTCTGGAAAAAAAAACTTGAAGTTTCCAGTCTGACCTCTGAAAAGTTATCACCAAATTGGTACGGCAACATGGTTGTTTGAAACACTTGCAGATCACTGATGATGATCAAAACCATCCCAAAACGTGACTCACAGTCACAGAACATGCCATGCCAAAAATTATGAAAATCGATCTCAGCCTACTCTTCTTATGAGTAAAATAATTTTTTTTCAAAAAAACTTGTACCACATCAACGAGACGATTTCGGATATAGGCAAGTTGGCCTAAATCAACTCGTTTTTATCCCAGGAGTCCACAGCCGAGCCATGTCCCAACTTTTCAAAATAACAGTTATTGTTCTATTTAAAGCGTAGAACTACTATTTTCTAAATGGCATGATAGGAGTGTAAATTTTCAAGTTTTATCTCCGCCCTATCTCAGAACTTTTTTTTTTATTTTCAAGAGTAAGTACTTGAAAACTTCCTATATTACTCGATAGCGCAAAAAAAACCGTTTCAAACGAGCAAAGCTCTACCTCCCTTCCCAAAAAAAGACTGCATACTCACCCTCCGGTATATCGTACAACTCCTGCACCTTGCCACCCTCCGCATTGTTAGTAACGCTAGCTTTGGCCGCCCTGTCAGCGCCGCCTTCGGGCTCGGACTCGGGGGAGGGAGAGTCGCCTCCCTCGCTGGCCCCGTTGCCGTTCAGCTCCGGCTTGGGGGTGGGACGGGCAGCGGGGGAGTCCGGGGGGCTGCCTGCCTCCCGGTCGGGCTTCGCGGGGGAAAGCGGGGGGGAGGCGTCGGGTCGCGGGGTTGGGGGGGCGGTCGGGTCCCTTTCGGGGGGAGCGGCGGCGGTGGGGGAAGGCGTGGGGGGGTCTTCGGCTGCGAACACACGGTGCGGTTAGTGAAACAGCAACAGCAACACTGCCAAATCGAGTTAGTCGGTTGTAATTAGTGTTAAAACTGTTAAAAACGAGGTTGAAAAGTACATACAGTGTGTTTCAGGTCCATGTAAACAGTGTCATTTATTCAAATGGGGAAGACCACTGAGGGAAGAAATCCATGCAAACCTCTTTCAATCGACGAATCATGATCTACGTTTTATGTACAATCAATATTATGAGTTGAAGTTGAAGGGAATCGAATCTATATCGTTTCAAAATCAGCATAATTCATTCGATATTTAAAAAAGCTAAATATGATGGTGAAGCCGATACCTATCAGTCCCGCACTGTAGCTATCTCTCTCTGATACCTCGTCATTCTGCAGTGTTGCAGTGTGATTGGTGAGTTCAAGGACAATAGGCGTGTTGGGACTAAGACGTCGCACCAGTCTCACCAATGAATTGACAAAATTTCAAATGGCGCAGGAATTGTGTGTTTAGAAATGGACATATTCTAATTTATTTTTTTCATCGTCTTGGCATGAATGAAAAAATTCAAAATTAATTCACTGGTAGTTTTTCAGTATGGAGTTCACGACAATGTCGTTTAAAAAAATCAGTGGTCTCCCCCATTGGCATCATATGGGAAAAACTTTCAATGATAATTTATTTATTTTTATTCATTTATTTATCAAACATATCTTCCAGTCCGAACTAGGGTCCCTTGATGGAAATTGACGTTAAAGTAATTAGGGTCCCTTGATGGAAATTGACGTTAAAGTCATCTTAACAGGGTATGGACAGATCACAGTTGCATTCTTTTTTAATGATCTAGAGACTTTAGTTATGTGTACTGGCATCCCTGACATTGCTGTCACGTCACATCCATAGGCGCTACAGAAAATCATTCAACATTTTAATAATATGTATGTATGGGGTATTTACTTGTTGAGGAAGATCATATGGCGAACGAATATTGTAATTATGATCCGATTCTATGCAAAATTGAAAGGTATCTGAGGTTTTCCGGGGTTGGAGATAATGATTGTTTCGCCAAACTTGGAAAATTACTTGCAAATTCTGGAGGAGACATTCTTGCTTGGAAGTCTATGAATATCGCTGAAGGGTATTTGCAGCAATCCCTCACAAAATAGCAAAAAATTTCGAACGAAATTGCTGAAGTTAATGAAATTGATTGTAATCAGCCAAGTACGAATTCTGTATAATAATGTTTTTTATGAAATATCACGAAATTTGCATTGGCTCCACATCTCACTTCTAGTGTGATTCAGATAACCACTGCTCAAAACTGCACTTTTCATAATAGTTTATATAATTATTACTCTACCACAAATTGAAAATATGTAGGATGCAAGAGTGAAAATAACGTGCCTATAAGTTATACTGTATACCTACTTCTTTGTTACTTTCATCGATAAATAATTTGAAAATGACTTTTTATTTAAGAGTTGCTAGTTGTTTCTGATAGAGGTGGCAACACTGTATTGATTAAAATATTTTAGACGGATAGAGAATGTTCAATTATCCACCGTGGATCAACCTGTATAGAAATCGTACATATATATGAATAAAACGAAGTTAACGGTATTATATCTGATCCTCACGTCAGCAGTTTCCATCCTTCACTTTCCGTCCTTATTGATTCAAAAAGTATCTCTCATTTTGGTCCCATTTTTGTTGAGATATCGTATAGGCGATGGGCCATAAATCGAAATAGTAAATATATGGTTAAAAGGTACATACAGTATACATACAGTGTGTTTTAGGTCCATGTATACAGTATCATTCATAAAGTTGGCATCATATGGGAAACACTTTTAATAATAATTGATTTTGAAATTCGTCTTGGGCGTTGAGTTATGCTTCAAAAATAGTCTTATATGTTCGAATTCCAAAAAGAAAGAATAGTAGATTGTTTTATTAGGATCAAAAGTGACACTTTGTTTGACATGCGAATTTGTCATTTGCTAGTCAAACAAAGTCACTTTTGATCCGAATGAAACATGATATTTTTTGTGCAACCGAAACAATTAACTCTTGATAAATATGTGAAGTAACCACCAATGCCGTGCCATATGTATGCAATGCAAAATGCAACATTTCACTCTTCAATTCATGAAAAAAAAAACAATCATTTCAGGTCGTATTTTCTTTTGCAGTCAATTCGTTATGCAACTAACGATACGCCAAATTGGTGTGATATCGACAGTGAAAATTTTTCCTAAATAAAAAAATGGCTCGCAGTCGAATTATTTCATTCTGTGAAAATGTGTTCCAGAAAAAAAATTTCAATCAAACCCTGAAAATGTACACAATTTCAGTTGAACGTCAATATTATGATATTTATTTCACACCAGTAATCATCAAAATCCACTGATGAAATGAAGTTTTTAAAAAAGTGTTTACACAATCGTAGACAATAATATTATTGTTCTTGGCTTCAGATTTTGCTCTATATCTAGCGTTCTGTGTTTCTATCTTTGATAGCTCAAAATAAAATGACACAAACAATCAATGAAGCATTGTAGTTGGGATAAATAAGTATAAATATGTGTCACCGTTGAATCATTTATGCATTCCAAGAAGCAAAAATCTTCAAATGAATCAAATTAATGTATAAACATCAGAATAATATTGGTCTATAAGAATATCTACGTTCATTACCATGGTATGATTACCAAAATGTTTCACCTTGAGGATGCGTTTGTATACTGGTTAAAATTTATAAACACTCGGTGCATCTTTTATTATTCTGTTTTTATGAACTAGAGAGAATCAGTGTTATTACTGGGAGTGATTCATCAACCTTGTCAGCACACCAATATTCTCTATTCTATTATAATATCAACAAAAATTAATATTTATGAAGCTACCGTTCCATGTCGTATAATTTTGTGCATAAAGGATTATCATAATTGATAACAATTATGTAATGTACTAAATGTATGATATAATTAAGATACCAACTTTCAACACTAGCGTTTTTTTCCTTGTTAGTCGCCATACTCCTGCAGTTAGATCAATTTCACAATTTCAATTTGAATTTTATCGATGAAAAGAAAATTATTATACAAATTGATAATGGAATATAATTGTTTTGAATACACTTCAAAATGGACCAGATGATTAATTTTTTTCAACTTCAAGAGAAGCATACACTTTTTTATGAATGATATTTTTTTTGCTTTCTAAACGTTTCTCAGAACACAAAAATATTTGGATTCGTTTATTGTGCCATTTTTTCTCATACAACACCCCTAGTGTATTGTTATTGATATTATGTGAATGAATAGATATGCAATAACCTGATTAGATCTATTGTTCCATCTTTGTTTGCTTTCTCAAGGATTCCTCATTCACAGCAGCCCCTCAAACTTCAATTCTCACATTCTCACAGCAATTTCGAAATTCGAAACAGGTTAAAACAATAATTGAAATTTTGAAGGAATGTTTGGAACTATGAATAACTGCCCCAACATCAGCCAAAATTTAGAAAAAGTGAAGATCATTATCGTCACCGGATCTTATTTTCCTTAGTAGTAATGATGTTCTTTACTACCATGGTGTGTGAAGTAACTAATATACAGGGTCAACCAACTAAAACTTGACCCCCCCTAAAACTAGAAAACCGAATTCTCTCAGAAATCGCCAGGACCCTTGGAAATTTCAAATGGAACCACCCTACTTTTAACACATCATTTTAAAGCACTTTCTATTGTGAATTCTTTGGTGCATCGTTTTTGGAAATCAGTTGATTTGACAGAGTTATTGAATAAAATCAATACTTGACAATAATTGTCAGTTAAATGTCAGTTATTTGACAATTATTGTCAAGTATTGATTATGTTCAATAACTCTGTCAAATTTCAACCGACTTCCAAAAACGATGCACCAAAGAATGCACAATCAAAAGGGCTTTAAAATGATGTGTTGAAAGAAGAGTGTTCCATTTGAAATTTGAAAGTTTCAAGTTCGTTTAACTGTCTGAAATGCCCCTGCCAAGTATAAAAAACGATAGGTCCCGGCGAGTTTTCGTTGGTCGACCCTGTATACTTAGGATGAGAATGCTTTTATATACCTTGCATATTATAAAAGTGCTTGCTATATAAAAGATCACTTCCCACCCCAGCTGAATAATATACCAATTCAATTTTTTGGTCCACTTTTCGCAAACTAGAACGCAGGGGATTAAGGGAATCACGGCAAACCAACACTCACATCCAAAGCCAAAACACACGACAGCTGTCAGTGATCACACTAAGGTGATAAAAGCGATTTACCTTTAGCAGAGCCGAGAGGAGACGAATTGTTGATGATGAGCTCCGTGGAGTTTTTAATGATGCTGGAAGGACGTGGAAGACTAGCAGCGCCGTTCGTTTTCTTCACGCTATAAGATCCCCTTTGGCTATCGGTGGCCAGTTTGTCGACGATAGCTTCCAGTTCACCAAACACCTAAGAAAAAAAATTCCAGTAGAGAGAATATATTCAACAAGTTCACTGTGTTGTTACAGACCGCAAAAGATTTGTCATATTTATCAATCAATGCGCTATTCAAAGTTGTTGAAAATTACGACCTGATTCAGTAGGTCTGTTCGTTTGTGTTGCTGAACTTGCTAAAGTTGATTTTGTTCTCATAGTTGTCTCTGTTGATGGCATAATGTAAACAGAGTAATTCATAGAAAAAAGTTCAGCAGGAAGAACAAACACAAACGAACAGACCTAGTGTCAAGTAGATTTTCGCTTGGAATAAGAATCCGAGTTTTAGTGAAGCATCTACGCTTACGTGCATTGCTAGACCACAGTATATTATCCTTTATACTGTGGCTAAAGACGGTGGAGAAAGGAATTCAGTAATACGGGTGGGGTCAAGAGTTGAAGATACCGCAGTCTGAGAGAATCCACCAGTAAGGGGCACTTTTACTTCGATACTTTTACGTTTCCGTGCCGATTCCGTGACGTTTTTGATATTTTGACGTTTCCGTGACGATTTTGTGACGTTTCCTTGAATATTCCGTGACGTTTTTGAATTTTTGATGTTTTGACGTGATGTTTCCGTGACGATTCCGTGACATATCCTTCGCCTTTACGAGTGGCTAATTGACCACTCAGCCCCGCCACTCGTATAGACGAAGGAAATGTCACGGAATCGTCAAAGCATCGGAAACGTCACGGAATTGTCACGGAAACGTCAAATAATCGAAAATATCACGGAATCGACACGGAAACGTCAAAGCATCGAAAACGTCACGGAATTGGAACATCCAAACTATGTTGAGTTAGGCAGTTATTCCCTTAGATCATACAGGAATAGATGATGTATCTAGGGCGATTTGTTTTGTAACTGAAGGGGGGAATAGAGTACAAGTCTTCCTATTGGACGATTTGAAATTGCCGCTTGTGAAGTTCCATGTTCGTGACCGTTCGTGTTCAGATTCTTCGTTTCGTGTATGATTCGTATGTTTACAAGTTTTGTTTGCATTGTGTTTTTCGTGGATTTTATCAATTCTTGGGTGTTTTTGTGAGAGAAACTGTTTTTAATTGAAGTGTATTGTGAAAACAAAGACTATGGGCAGATCCTGTGCTATTTGTAATAGCAAATATGCTAAATCTTCATCAAAATCGTTTCATTCGTAAGTATTCCTCAGGCGTAGATGCTGACAGGCAGTAGGGCATTGATCATTAAAAATATTGAAATTGTTCTATGAACTCATTCGGAGGATAATTCATCAATGAAATGATTTCAAATGTTCTAGATTTCCAAAAAATATTGAACTAAGGGTGCAGTGGTGTCCATGTGCCAAATAATTGGATTCAGGGTAGAAGCTTTGACACCAAACAAACTTTTCTATGCTCTGATCATTTATCTGCTGAAGATAGCCATTCCCATCCTTCTGGATTGAAATACTTGGAAAAGCTTTTCCCAAAGTGAATAGGTATGTTGATATTCATAAAATTGACTATATGAAACATATAAACAAGGAGAATTTTTTTTTCAGGGAATCATCAGAGGTTGTTGTTATCACACCTACAGAAGAAGATTTAGAAAACCCTCAAGGAGCATTACCCAGTACCAGTTTAAGTTCATTATCAAAAGGGGTAAGATACGAAAACTGTTTATCATATATTATAATCATCACCAAGCAGGGAACTTTTTTCTATATTCTGAACATTTAGTTTATTAGTTTCAAATGATGATCATTCACAGGAAAACAACATCTTGAAATGGTTCAAATCAAAAACCCAAGAAACTCTCACTATGTTGGAAAATTCATCAGAAGCTCCTATCATTTCTGTAAAAAGTTCTTGCTTCAAGCAGACAGATACTACAGGAACTCTGACTGCATCTGAAGGTGAAAGAGAAAAGGCAAAGCTTGCATTGAGAAGGTAAATGTTTCAAGATCATTAAATATAGATACTTATACAGTATGTCTCACTAAGTGTGAACCCTATAGAAATCAACTTTTTCATTATTCATTTTAAGAAAAAATGTTATTTCTCATAAAAAGCTCTGCATGTTCTAAAATTGAAAAACAATCATCAGATATCAAAGTATTTCAGTCGTATATGTCATGTGTCAAATATAAAGGAACAATTCACATTTTTTGATACACCATGTATACGACTAAGAAAAATTGATATCTGATGATTGTATTTTAGGACTTTGAAGAACTTTTTTGAGGAATAACTTTTCTTCCTAAATTGAATAATAAAACAGTTGTTTTCCATATGGTTCCAACTCAGTGAGACATACTGTCATAAATTTCCGAATGCCCTGTTCTTTTGATTTGATTGTATTGAAATTCCATCTTGGGGAAGGTGATACTATAAAATTATGTAAATTGATTGATTTATAGATTTGGAAATATAATCTTTTTTTCTTTAGGAAACCACTACCACATCATTTTGGTGGATTTTCATCAGATGATATGAGGAGTCCCCGAAAAGCAAGACAGAGTTTTCACATTTCAAATAAGATATAATACAACAAGAGAGGGCAATCATAACAAAGCTTATAAGAGACAACAAGCGGTTGACAGAAACACTTCAATACTACAAATAGTTATTCTAGTATCTTCAAGAGAAGTACCTGAGCTAAAGTGCAGAAACCATTATGGAAATATGTATTGTAATGCTGGATATTTACAATTCAAATTTCAAAAATCAATTCGAGAATCAATTATTGTTATGTAACAAAATCTATTTTTTTTTTAAAATCAGTGCTTATTGTTTGTACAAATTTTTTGTTTCTGATATTATACATCAAATATATATTATAGAACATTCTAACCTGAAAAACGTGTTTTACTACTACCTCTATGTATTTCAATGATTCTTCATCTGATTTTATGCTCATTCAACAACAATGGACATTCAGCTCCATAATATTCTATTATTATAGTATCAAAAATATTGAAATCATCAAAAAGCCTCATCTGAGAAATGTGTTTTAATCATTTCCTGAAGTTAATGTTTTTACTACCATTAAAACATAAATGTATGCACCTTTGCACTGAGCACTTCTTATATCACTTTCTTTAGCTTCTTCCATTTCTATGAGTATTATATTGTAATAGATTTCCTGAATGAATCATTTTCATCAGCACAAAAAAAACACTTATGAAATAATAAACTACTAATTTATAATATTAAGCAGAACATTTAAATAATCAATGATTATTTTAATGATATGGTAATACTTTTTGAATTTTTGGAAACCTATCAGAAGTGAAATTTCGACATTTCAGATTGTATTTAACAATAAAAGATTTATTGCTATTTTATTCAAATTTGGACCCCTTTATGAATGCACGGCACTGGACAGTTGTACCAAAGATGACCTCACCCCCCCGAAAACGCCGTAGTCAGCGCCTCCTACCTTTACAAAACAATGCAACCAGTACATTCAGTATCTATTCCTGTATGATCTAAGGTTATTCCAGGTAAGAATAATGCATTGGTGAAATAGGGGTCGATTGCATTTAGAGTGACATAGGTGCACTAATTCCACCTTAGTGGCTGAGGGTAAATTAGATTCCCTCGTATGATTCCCATTAGTTACCTTCGCAGTCTCTGAGTGGAAAGTGTTCTCCGAATTGAACAGCGACTGGAGGTTCGTGACCAGGAACAGCACCCTAGAATCGTACAAAGCCGGCAGCTCGTCGTGCAACTCCGAATTGAGGATCTCGTAGGTCCTTTTCGCCTCGTCGAGCTGCTCCTTGCCGCGGGCTATCTTCGCCTCGTCGCGCTTCTTCATGTTCGTCTGCAGCGCCTGGAAGCTGTGTCGCTGGCTGTCGTAGTCGACCAGCTTGCGGCCCCTTTTGTCGATCTTTTTCTGAAAGGAAAATTTGGATCAGATGTATTCAAGATTTGATCTGTAGTGGAAGTCAACGATATCTCGAAGTGAAGTAGAGTAGTAGAACAACTCTCAGTCATCTCTCTACTTCTCCACAATTATTTTTTAATAAAAATATTATGCGATTTCAGAAGAACATGTTTTGAACCCATCATCAGCTACCTAATGTTGTTGTTTTATTAGTATCGAAAATCACTTTTGATCTGAATGAAACATGCTATTTTTTCTGCAACCGAAAAAACTATTCAAAATAAATACGTGAAGTAACCACCAATGTGACTTATTGTGTGACTCACTTGACTGATTATTATGATACCTTTATTATAGTGAGTAGATATGAGCAAGACTTCATACTACTTTACTTTGTTACAATTTGTGCATTTACAGATCGAGTTTATTCAATTTGCAAGGATGCTCGAATTGAAGTTTCAATATAATTACAACCACAGAGTGACCCATTTGTGTATTCTATTGAATCGATGAATCGATATTTTATTTGGACCAGGTGTCAGCCCTAATGGCAAATACCGCGCCAGTGCCAGGTATAGGAAAAATGAGTGGAAAATGTTGAGATGGTGAGCATATCAACATATCAACAATAATAATAGGGATTATCTATTTCTCTCCATATTCCACTGTGTTTGGCTCGGTAATCAAATGGAGGTGTACAATATTGTTGTCAGATTATCAGATTCGATAATAACAAACGGAATACAGATTAAGCAAGTATGTGAATCTTGGAGACTTTCCTAATCAAAACACATAATATGGTATATTTATATTTCCAGCATGTGTACGAAATTTTGAAATGCCAAATCTGCCGAGATCGGAAACAAATCTATATGTTTGTGTATGGCAATCTTATCGTTTGTGAGAAGATTCCACAAAACATTATTAGGTTTATGATATTCTGTATTCTCCCTTCAATATCTTATGTATCATACATGGTCGAAATTGATTTCCTATCATTTCCAATCATGCTTCAGAAGTTCTGAATTATCTGATACGTACTTGATTTTTTTTAACATATCTCTTATATTTTGAGGAGATTTCAAATAATAATATTCTCTCCATAGACACACATTGCACCACATTTTGCGTACATAGTCGAAATTTATTTCCAATTATTTCCAATCATGCTTCAGAAGTTCTGAATTATCTTATGGGTACTTGATTTTTTTCATCATATCTCCTATATTTTGAGGAGTTTTCAAATAATAATCTCTCTATAGACACACATTGCTTCACATTTTGATTTCCTGGAATAATCGAAGGGAAATAATTCTAAGCCGATGAAAATATAGAAGGTCTCAACATGTACGATCAAAGGGAAATAATCTATACTCATTTGATGAGTAATGATTATTTGATCATAAATACTCCAGTTATCCATTATCTTTTGAACTGAATTGTTGGAATAATATTTGATGGAAACTGCGATTTCTATCAAAAGCACTAATGAGAACTACCCTAAAGAATTTGAAAAACTTCTTCTGACAGTTGTGACAACTATTCAAAGCTGAACACCAGCCAATTAAGTTTTGGTCGATTTTTTTTGATTCTCCATGGAAATGTATTGTGGTGTTGGCAAAGTGTGCCGTGAGAAATTAGTTATTTTTGTATCTAGAGCGCGAAATGCTACTTTGGTGATCGAGATCTGATTCTGAACTCTTTTGCTCATTGTGATTCAATAAAATATAATTTTCAATTCTTACAGCAGAACATAATAACATTCCTTCCTGCATCAAAGAAGCAAAAGGCTGAATAAATCGATGTTAAAACATGCATGAATGATCATAAATTATTTGTATTGAATAAAAAATGAAAATGTCCATACCACAATAAAATTCTTCTGCAATTCCAGTTAGTTGAAATCGAAACTCTACTTAAAAAGCAGCAGGTGATTGTTTTTCCCTCAAACAATTGATAGTTTTCGGATAACTGCCTCTGTGAGTCATTTGAAAATTACATAAATTTCATTGTTGAATTAGAGTGAGAAAACAAATGGTTGATATACGTAACGATTCGAATTGACCAGCATAAAAGTTTAATTATATTTTTGATTATTTGGTGATGATGGTCATTTTTTTGTTGTCTCAATAATTACCTATGGGAAGACACAGTTCAATGTCAATAATGTAACCAAATTGCGAATTATGTTAGGGTACAAACTTCAAACTTCAATTCGAAGGTAATAGGTCTAGCACTCAAAGATCTTGAAAATATGTGTACAAATTACAATCATCAAGTATGGGAAGGTTTTGTGCAACAGTACAGTAGACTCAAATATCTTTAATGTGAAAAACTGCACAAAATGATAAGATTTCCCCAAATTCTTAATCACAAGACATGTTTCGCTAACACAGCAACTTCTTCAGGTAAAATACTGGTACAATAAACGAAACTTACATTGGCTTGCCTAACTTTTATATCAAACTTTTCCAACATGAAAAATTAAAATTACCTATAGAAAGGTTCTATAAACCTTCATTTTCGGAAAATAGTCACAATGTACCACTTGAAAGGGTTGATAGCAAATAAATATTCTCTGGTAGAAGTCCAACGTTTCTCTCCCCTTTGCTAGCCGGAAGTTGTTTACAATTTAGAAAAAAAAATTGAAGAACTTTCCCCTTTTCAATAAAATTTGTTTTTGGTACAGATACGTGGATGACTGTCTGGTACTCTTTGATGGTACTTTGGCACCTCCTTCTAATTTCTTTGAAGACTTTACATCCTTATATCCAGTTATACAGGGTGTTTCATAAAAAACTAACCCCCTTGCTAGGGTAGGTAGAACATTCCAAAATAAGTTGGGTTTGCTCAGTAAAAAAATGTCGTAACGCCATCCGTTTTCAAGATACAAGGTGTTGAAACAATATTTTTTTTACACATTTTTTACGATTATGTTGAAACTACTGGCAACATTGTGATGAAATTTTGTATGGATGTTTCTTGGAATCTGACACATCGCATGCATTTGTTTTTATATCTGACTCTGATAGAGGGCGCTAGTTACACGGTTCGTACCGAGTATTTTTGAACATAACTTTTTTGAGGTTAGATTTTTCAATCCAACTTTGATGTGAACTTGAACACCATTCAATTTCACACCAAAAATGTACTCTTGGTAAAACTCGATACTGTGTTCCGTTTTCGGAATATTTCGATTTAAAAATGATGAAGTGGTAACTGTTGCTGGTATAAAGATATGTGTTAGAGTGAGTATAATGAAAAATTATCACCTATTCATTGAAAACCGAAAACAAAAATACATTTCTGATGCAAAACTCATTGATTTAACAATGAATCACAAGGATAACTTCGAGACAGAGTTGACTAAGAACATGGATTACACAGTTTTGTTGTATCTTGAGCAGATAGTCTATGCTACATTGGTAAATTCACGTCAAGAGTTGTGAGACATAATTGAACATCACTTAAATGACCTAACAGCAGATCCTCAACTGTTCAGAAGAATAATACATTCTTAAAAAAAGAATATAGAATCGTGTATTCCTCGAAACGTAGGACATTTTGAACACTTACTCTAACTAGTCTAACTGATTCAATATTTCATGTTTCTAGTCGAATATCTCTTAATTTTCTACTTATGATCCTTTGTTCCATCAATAACTTCGACACAAGAATAATTTTATTGTTTTTGAACCTGAATAAATAGGTAATTCAACTCAATAAAATTCATTTTATACCAGCATCATTACTACTTCATTATTTTCAAATCGAAATATTCCGAGAACGGAACATAGTATCGAGTTTCACCAGGAGTACCTTTTTGGTGTAAAATTGAATGATGTTCAAGTTCATATCATATTTGGATTGAAAAATCTAACCTCAAAAAGTTATGTTCAAAACAACTCGGTACGAACCGTGTAACTAGAGCCCTCTATGAGAGTCAGATATAAAAACAAATTCATGCGATGTGTCAGATTCCAAGAAACATCCATACAAAATTTCATCGCAATGTTGCCAGTAGTTTCGGAATAATCGTGAGAAATGTGTGAAAAAATAATTAATTCAACACCTTGTGTCATGAAAACGGGCAAACCCAACTTATTTTGCGATGTTCTACCAACCCTAGCAAGAGGGTTAGGTTTCTTTGAAACACCCTGTATAATAATAATAATAATTCTCTTTCTTTCCTAGATTTGCTTATCATTCAGTCACTCCATTCAAGTCTTACCATCCTATTTCACACAAGCAGCTTCTATTCTCTTTACCACAGATTGTTCACTATTCCTATGAATTATTCAGATTTTGACAATGAACACAACATAATTAAGCAAATAGGTTTCAATAATAATGGCTAACCACCATGTTTTCTCAAGAGAATTTTCAATGGACACTTACAAAAACACACAAACCAAACTTGCTACCCTTGAATAACCCTCGTACACGTTTCACTTCAATCTCCTTTTTAGGTAAAGTCTCATATGAATAATGTTTCATTTTATACTGCTGATACTGTTGCACGATCCTTGGTAAATAATAAAGATGAATTACCACTCTTGGCACTCTTTCATGAATCAGGTGTTTATAAAATTTCATGTTAAGTTGATAATTGTAAGTCTCAATACATAGGTCAAAGTGGTAGGTGAAATTTAGAGGGAGGGTAGGTGTATTTTGGAGCTGAGAGGCGTACACTTTTTCAAAAAAACAAGGCCTATTAGGTCACATTCAGAGGCTGAAAAATCGAGAATCCATATTAGCGATTTTTTCAGAAAAAAATCGCGTACACCACTGGAATCAGCGTCCTCTGAAATGGATTTGTACCAAGTTTCATGAAAAAATATCCAACATCATAAACGGCCCCCCTCCATATTTCAGCTATTAGTCGCGATTCGTACCAAATTTGGAGCAGTATGAATAAGCATCAATATGATCAGTCTTTCAGAGACATCCTTTCGGACAGTGCCGTTCGTTTCTATTAAAATGAAAAGGGGTCAATTTTTTATAAAATCATATTAGGACTTTTTACAGGAATACTGACTCGAATACTGACCTCATAAAATATTGTTCTTCGTGGTTTCAAACCCCTATATCTAAATTTCTATATGATTCGCCTATGGAGGGTTAAAAAAAAGGCACATATGAAAAGCATTTTTGCAAACATAATAATTATTTACTCGGAAACGGCGAGTTCAATATAATATAGTATGATGTCTTCTTTTTTCTTTCAAATCACGATTTCCTACCTACCGGAGCTATTGAACGTTTCGAAATTTGCAGTTAACTTGAATTCGCCATTTTTCCAACACTGAAAATATTTCTTCATGAAACTTGATACAAATCTATTTCAGAGGACGCCGATTCCAGTGGTGTACGCAGATTTTTTCAAAAAAAATCGCTAATATGGATTCTGCATTTTTCAGTCCCTGAACGTGGTCTAGTAGGCCTTGGATTTTCGAACAAGTGGACGCCGCTTGGCTCCAAAATAACATTTCCTCCCTCTACAAACAGATTAAAATTTGTTCCCCAAAAAGGGATAAAATAAGTGAATTTGATGAGAGGAAACAAATTTTAATCTGTTTATGCCGTATTTAACCATAATGTCGATATTTTTAAACTGGACCAGAGATATTTTTATGTACAAATTTCCTTGTAATCCTGACGAGTATGCACTGATGATGACTTGACAGTCGATAGCGCTCTGCTACGAGTAATAAATTTGAATAAATTATCTTGCACGAAATACAACACTGCCCTTTATTGGTATATATACACGTGCACACAGCTAAGTTACCCCTTACGTATAAACTTTTTGTCTAGGGATTTAAAATATCACTTTATTCCCTATATAGGTGTATAATGTACTATTTATATGACAACATTCGAGTACGATCAGAGACTGCGATGTGCTTTCCGTGGCAAAATTATCTCTCTTCTCAACCATTTATAACTAATATACAGGGTGTTTCAGTTTTTTGTAGCAGGACTTTAACAGCTTGAAGAAGACATTTTTTCAAGATGAAAATCTCAAACAAACATATATGTGTGGGAGCTTTGTTTTCGATTTACAGGGTGTCAAAGTTTCAGATTTTTTAAATGTTTTTTGAATTTTCTCCTACAATTTTCGGAATAATTGATTGAAATTTGGTACACCTAATACACTTGAAAAATTAAATATTTAAGGCTATTGAGCGTTTCTGAATACCTACAGGGTGATAGACTTCCTGGGGTCGTACCCAATTTAACCCTGTAGAACCTTTTTTCGTGACGCCTCTGCTTTCAATGGGACATAGATTCAGATTGTCTCTGCAATTTGGAAACTTTTTGCCCCCACGTATGTTTTTCGAAAACTGTATGGATTTCGAGATAAATAAAAGTGGAGTCCGAACCACTTCTAAGGGTACTCATAAAATTAGAATTGCCGTTCACGAGATTAAATTATTAAAACTCACAACACCTCAACCGTCAGAAGCGACAGTCTGGCGATGTACAGCGCATAGACCATGTGTCATACAGTCCCTGATATCGGAAGTTTAATCAATTTCAGTTATACAGGGTGTCCTAGAATTTTCTACCATACAATTTCAGATTTTGCAATCCAGTTAGAGGAGCTTTTCTAAAATAGAAAACATTTTTTCTTTGTTTTTCCTAGTTTTAATTATAATGGTGTTCAAAAAAATCCAATCTAATTTTGCAACTGAATTTCATTTGTTATGGAAGCTTTCGGTCATTCTATTTTCCAATAAAATGTTTGAGAAATTTCAAATAAGTGTGTTTGAGAAATAACGGTTTTATTTATTTTTGGCATTTATCTCGAGATCCATACAGTTTTCGAAAAATTTACATAGAGGCAAAAAGTTCGCAAATTGGAAGGACAATCTGAATCAATGTCCTATTGAAAGCAGAGACGGCTCGCAAAAAAGTTCTACAGGGTTGAATTGGGTACGACCCCTGAAAGTCTATCACCCTGTAGGTATTCAAAAACGCTCAATAGCCTCAAATATTGAGTTTTTGAAGTATATTAGGTGTACTGAATTCCAATCAATTATTCCGAAAATTGTAGGAGAAAATTCAAAAAAACATAAAAAAAATCTGAAACTTTGACACCCTGTAAATCGGAAACGAAGCGTCCACGCATATATGTTTTTATGAGACTTTCATCTTAAAAAAATGTCTTCTTCAAGCTGTTAAAGTCCTGCTACAAAAAACTGAAACACCCTGTATAGTAATTAATTACTCTTGGTCTCACCCTCATTTCGGGAAATTGTGCCTGGTAAGTGTTCAGCGGTAGTAAAACTTGGTCCCCTAATTTGTGACTGAAGTCCTGCCACAGCATGTCCACCGATTGCGTCTGGACGTACATGTGGTCGTGGCCCGTCCATTGGCTCTCGTAAATCTCCCCTACGGCTTCGAGGAGGGTTTTCGACGCCGCTTGACATGCTGAAAAAATAATTACAATGAGGAAGTTGCCCTCGAACGAATTATCATAAAAGTAATTTTTCTACTACTGCATGCCATGAAAAGTAGCGCATTTCTCATAGCCTACTCAGTTTTAAAACCATAATCTCACGACAGAAATGAATCACTTCCCATCTCGGTGTGTAATATACTTTTTCTACAAACGTCAAAAAATGACAAGGTTCGCTCATTGATAACAAACTGCGAAGTGACACTTTTTTCAGTTTCCTACGTTACCATGATACCTTGCAGAAAACAATGCGCGAAGTAAAACAGTGCGCGAAGTACCTACTTCGCGCATTGTTATGTAAAATATATGAGATATTTATATTTCAACTTTATGGTCCTCAATCGAGCAAACATCCACGGAATCATTCATTTGTAAATGTTCATCAACAATAACTCTGTTTCATCTCTTGGAGCGCACGAAATGAAATTCCTATTATGTTCGTGGAACATCGTGCGTACCTAGGGAGGATGGGGGAAGGCCTTTCAAGCCAGTTCAACAATATTTTTTATATCAAGCTAAGCATATTTTTACTTTAGAACTATATTTTTTTAAGTTTGTAGAAAAAATGTTGTTTGCAACTCGAGCGCGAAATACTTCGCGCATTGTTATGTAAAATATATGAGATATTTATATTCCAACTTTATGGTCCTCAATCGAGCAAACATCCACGAAATCATTCATTTCTGAATGTTCAACAATAATTTTGTTTTATCTCTTGGAGCGCACGAAAGGAAACTCCTATTATGTTCGTGGAACATCGTGCCTACCTAGGGAGGATAGAAGGAGGCCTTTCAAGCCAGTTCAACACTATTTTTTATATCAAGCTAAGCATATTTTTTGACGTTTGTAGAAAAAATGTTGTTTGCAACTCGAGCGCGAAATACTTTGGTCATCTCGACTATTTTTTCAGAATCAGATCTCGATCACCAAAGTAGCATTTCGCGCTCTAGATACAAAAATAACTAATTTCTCACGGCACACTTTGCCAACACCACATTACATTTCCATGGAGAATCAAAAAAAATCGACCAAAACTTAATTGGCTGGTGTTCAGCTTTGAATAGTTGTCACAACTGTCAGAAGAAGTTTTTTAAATTCTTTAGGGTAGTTCTCATTAGTGCTTTTGATAGAAATCGCAGTTTCCATCAAATATTATTCCAACAATTCATAATAAATAATATTATGTTTATACCGAGATGTGACGATTTTGATATATACACCGCCAGAGACAGACATGATGGTAAAAGCTGCAAAAATTGGATTTGTTTTAGGAATTTTCAAGAAAAAAGTATGAATTGGCATAAACGAAAAATTTATGGAATCTAAAAAAATACCAAAAAAATCTTTTTCGGAAAGTGTACTTTTTTGAAATACTTTGAGGAGTTTGAGGAACTAGGAAAGGTCACAATATTCAATGTGGCATAGTGCCACATTATAAAATGAATACCAATAAGCTACATTACTCGGAATCTTTGATCAGGTGCAGTTGTAGAAAAAGTATAGTGTGCAACATGTGGGGAAAAGCACTTTTCTCACTCGTGTGTTTGCATCAGTCGCCCTTCAGGCTCGTGCCCTCGCTCGTGCCACAAACTTTCACACTCGTGAGGAAAGTTAAACTTTTCCCACTCGTCGCACAATATACTATTTTTGAATCGACTCGACCGTTACTTGATGGAAATTCATGGCAAATGTAAAAACTTCACAAACGATAAGATTTCCACAAAATTCTCAAACACACAATATGTTTCGCTAACACAGTAGCTTCGTCAGGTGATATACTGGTACGATCATCATCTACTTTGTAATTCCTCTCTATTTGTTAACTAATCAAATATATTTGATATAAAATTATGACGAGGTTGTGAACGTTATGTATGGTACTTTATACCTACCTGTAATGTCGTACCCGTACCGATATAGTAAAAATGTAGAATAAGGTTCTATTGACACAGGTGACTTGAAAAATATTAATTTTATTGAAGATCAAATATTAGCTATGTAGACTTTGGCGTCGTTATATTTAATAACGTGCCAACGTATTGAGACCTCAATTAAGATACATGAAATGTTGTAGGCTTAGATAAAATCGAGGAGGAAATTAATAAAAAAATATCCACAATCAAAAACATCAACAGAAAAACGGTTCAATAATTATTCTGATGAGGCTCATAACCAGGACCCTGTTGTCCGTTACAGGTTTTTTTCACTTCAACGGATCAAACATTTACTGATATACTACAACAAAACCGAGAAGAAAACCAAAACTATGCATACACCAATTTATCATTTATGTTTCTATTTCTCGCCAGTTTGAGGAGAACAAAGTTTTGTTCCGCTTCTGAGACGAAACGATTTTATCCTCGTTTTTCATTCTGAAATACCGATGAAATACATAAATATAGTCTCAAGATATTATTGTATCGCTGTTACGAATCAAACGGACCTCCCTGAATGAAAAAATTAAAAACAGATACTTTGCACAGGTGCACGAAGGAAATATTCATTGAATCAACAACAAAATAAATATTTTGTTCATTCAATGAATCTTTTTTCTCCGTGTAGGTACTGAAAGTCATTAAAATGTAGTCGTCTTCAGAGATCATGTCGCGGTTGGACGGTGTCAGCGCTCTTATTGCAGGAGTTATTAGGAATGCTATGTAAAAACAAGTTCAAAAATGCGTTCGACGAAATTCCCAATGCAGCAGCAGCAGCTGCTACAGCAAAATCATCATATATAATACCACAAGTGATAATATTTTGCCGGAAATATTCGGTGATTGTTACGACAGCTTGTTGCCTAGTAATTCCGTGAATGACATTGTTATCAAAACTACGAGCCGTAGGCGGAGGCCAGATAACGAAGCTGGATATAGAGAAAATACAGGAGACCAAAAAGTTGTATTTTGAGTTGCTTAATCTAAAAAAAATAAAAATTCACCAACAAATTTCAGTGGCGTACTTTTTTCACATTATTGTTGGCTGTGGTGCTCACTGAGACGCCACTGTCCCCAATAATTTCAATCTAAATAGGGCTAAATAAGCTCCTTATTAGTTCAAATATGAAAGATGAAAGTATCAAATTTCAACCAAATCGGTTCCAGGATATTCATGATATTTTATAATAGGGTATACGCGTGTGAAAATTTTACACTGGAATATATTTTTGTTCCATTACTCATATGTATAGATGTCGAATTATACATCCGAAAAACATTATTAAGCACCGAATATTTAATAATTTCTGATCGAAAATCATAATATTTGCAACTTTCCGACCAACAGCCGAACTGCAGCGATGATTTCCGACTGGATGTGTCTGTTTTTATTTGTCATGTCAAACATTCATGTCTGAAAGATTGAAAATAATATAAGAAGAGAAAGTGAGGTTATGATTATGATTATCTAAGCTTGTAGTTTCTATAATCTATCTCAATTATATGATCTCAATATTCTGAATAATAATAACTGAATAATAAGCAAATATCTACAATAAGAATGATCAAACAGGACTTCTTTTTGCATGTTGTTTCAAATATATATTATTACCACCTATCAATTTATATCTCATATAGTTTTCCATATCTTCTTCAAGCTGAAAACGAAATCCTATATTATATTATTCTTCTAACAGGAGGAACATAATCATTGATATATAATGGGTTTCACTATAGGACATACTTGAACGTATACTCACTTCGAAATGGTCTTCACAAACAAATCCTCTGGTTTTCTCGGATAAATCATTTCTATTTATGGTTTGCAACCATCATCATTTTCTTTTTTCTTTATTTTTATCACTCGATCCCACTGGCAATGAAAGGAATATTTTTCCTGGTGATACTTTGGTTGATGAAAGGCATTGCGGCACTAAACAGTATTTAGTATAAACATCATCATTTTCCATTTTCAAATTTCAAATTTTTGGCGTTCAAAACTGTTTTCTTCTCCTACCTCTTCTTCTCATTTTTTTTTTCAATCTGTATCTTGTCATTCTGTCGCGCTAGTCTATGACTGTGCGGCCTAATACTATGACGTCATAATATTAGTGATGGCCATTAACCCGTTTTCCTGTGACTTCATATTTAGCCTCATTTAAATGAAATTTTTTAGAGTCACAAGCAAATTTGAGATTAATGAATGATATCCAATGTTATTATAAGGAAGAAGGAATATAATTTCGATTAAACAAAAAATCATGCGTATTCCTTATTGCCGTTTTTTTCTTTAATTTCAACGCCCTGTATCTCAGAAACGAAGCAACTCCGGACATATGTTAATAGAAACTTTTCTTCCTAAATTGACCCAACGAATCATCAGCTGCAGTTAGGAAACACCCTATATATTTTCGTACTTTCATTTGGTTATCATTTATGTTACGAGTGTAAAAATGACAACGATTTTATCCGGGAAGTGGCTATTTTCCTATTTCACCCTGTACAGTCAATGAACCATCATTTTTCATTCATGTTAGGTGGGTGTGCTAATTCAATTGGGTGATGTAACTTTATCATCATTGGAACCAACGTAGCAGATAATTTTTCATGTACATTTGCAACTCATTAGCATTTTTACTTGTCTGGTGGGTATCTAACATCCTTCAGTTGTTTGTTAATATCTTCAAAAACTTTCTCCACAGCATCCTATATTATAGGAAGTATTAAGTGTCCTTAAAGTGTCCCCTTCTCCTAGTTGGCAGCTGGGATTTTTTTCCAGTTTCAATGGTAGTTTGTATGGATTTCGATAAAAAATATGTATTTTTCAAAATGATGTCTGATCGCCACTCGCCATTTCGGAAGATTTTTTTTCAATGGAATTGGGGTCGCAATGCCTTCCAATTATCTATGCCACACCAGAATTTCAGACAAAGATTTTCAGCTGTCGCGTTGGACATATCGAAAGCATTCGACCGTGTTTGGCACGAAGGACTCCTCCACAAACTACCATCATACGGCTTACCACCTCAGCTATGCCA